GTGAGTGTCCCCTCAAACTCCTCCAGTAGGTTGAGTTAGTCATGAGGGTTCTGTGTGCCAAATTTGGTCCAATTCCATCTTTGGTGGAGTTCAGAATGCTCATTGATTGCTGGTGAACTATAAATTCCAGTACATTAGAGTCTCGATTATCCAACCTTCCCTCATCCAACGTATTATCCAACACAGTCTGTCTCCCGCCCGGATTCACAGTTGTTCCAATACATTGCGGTGTTTGGGTGCTAAATTCGTAAATACAGTAATTACTACATAACATTGCCATGTATTGAACTGCTTTTTCTGTCAATTTATTGTAAAACATGATGTTTCGATGTTTACTTTGTAAAATCATAACGTAATTTGACATTGAATAGGCTTGTCCTTAATCTCCTTATTATCAAACATTTTCGCTTATACAACATTATGCCGGACTCTTTATGTTGGATAAGTGAGACTCTACTGTACCTACAACTCCAAAATGTCCCATCAAAACCCACTAGTATTCCAATTTGCGCATATCAAGTATACAAGTTTGGTCCAGAGCCATCATTGTTTGGGTTCATGGTGTGCTCTGGATGTAGGTGAACTACAACTATAAATCCCTTCTTGTTGGTCATGGGGGTTCTGTGTGCCAAGTTAGTTCCAGGTCCATGGTGGAGTTCAGAGTGGTCTTAGATTGCAGGTGAACTATACGTCCCAGTACCTACAACTCCTATAAATCATGGTGAATTATCCTCCAAATCTCTCTAGTATGTTCAGTTGCTGACCAATTCCTCTGTTCGCTGTGTGCCATAGAAAAGAATAGGAAAGGGTTAAGGGAGAGGCAGTGGACAGGGTCATGCCAATTCCACACCAATGGAGAGAGTCAGAAACACTGGGATGTCTGTGGTGGAGAAAAAACAGTAAATGTAGGATGAAATTGTCCCTGAATGAAAGCCTTTACTTGGGTGGTGGGCAGTATGGTGCTTGGGGAGGACATTGGCAGGGCTCTTTGACATGTTCATGGCTCTCACTAAAACCGGCAGTACCATTGGAGTAGAGAGCCATTGGTGGCTCCTGAGTAGTGAGAATTATAGCTGTTTGTGGAGGCAGGAGCTTTTCCGTGGAAGTGGACACCCCAGCCACATACACACATACATATTTTCACTTTTGTAATGTGTAGAGATTATTATTTATGCCCTGCTTTTTCTCTCCACGGAGGAGACTCTGAGCAACATTATATGATGATGATGATGTTTATTTATACCCTGCTTTTTCTCTCCACAAGGAGACTCAAAGCAACTGTGTACCTATTATTAGTATTAGAATTTATTATTCGAATGTATTATTATTTGAAACACAACAAGATGAGTCCACAGCAGACCCTCTGCTGGCTGTTGTATTGGATAACATGTCGGACACTTCCCAAGTGTCTAGGACTGTGTGATGTATTGGCGAATAATGCATGCAGATCCCAGTAAGCTGACTTTTGTATTTGGTTGCACGTCAGATACTTCTCAAGTGTGTAGGACTGTGTGATGTATTGGCGAATAGTGTGTGCAGATCTGAATAGGGTAGGGCCTTCTGTAGCTGGCAGCTGGTAATTTTGTCAGTGCCGATTGTGTTTAAGTGCAGACCAAGGTCTTTAGGCACTGCAACCAGTGTGTCGATCACCACTGGGACCACCTTTACTGGCTTGTGCCAAAGTCTTTGCAGTACGATCTTTAAATCCTCATATCGTGTCAGCTTTTCCAGCTGACATTGACGATCCATATTTTGTTTTTTAACACGATTGTGAGGTCAGGAGTATTATGCTCCAAAACTGAATCCAGAAGGCCCAGAGGAGTTTGACGTGTTAATTCTCTGTAACTTTTTCCAGCTTATGATCCCACCAGTTTTTGTTGGTATTTGTGGCACAAGTTCCAATGAATCATCTGAGCAACGGTGTTGTGCCTCTGTTTGTAGTCTGTCTGTGCGATTTCCTTGCAGTAGTTGAGGATGTGATCTATTGTTTCATCTGCTCCTTGCAGGGTCTACATTTGGGATTTGTTGTCGACTTTTCAATTCTGGCTTTGATGGCATTGTTTCGAATGCCTTGTTCTTGGGCTTCCAGAATCAGGCCCCCCATCTCCTTTTTCAGAGTCCCATTTGTGAGCCACAGCCATGTTTTTTCTTTGTCAATTTGGCTCTCAATTTTTCCCAGGAACTGTCCGTAGAGAGCCTTCTTTTGCCAGTTTTCTCTTCTGCTCTGGATTGTGTTTTTACGGTATTCACTCTTTGTATTTTGCACTTTAAGCAGTTTACTACTATTGACTTCCCTCAATGTTGGTTCTTGACTGCCTTTTACATAATCTGCCAGTGCGTGTTTCTCTTCTTCTACTGTTTGTTTCACTTGCAGAAGCCCTCTCTCTGCCTCCTGATTTTCTGGGCAGGTCAAGTCTGTCGACATCACTACGCGGGTGTAATGAGTAGTGGATGGTCATCCGTTTTGTTGTTTTTCTGACCAGATCATCCAGCTCTGCTTGTGTCCAGTTCACAATCCCAGCAGTGTATCTAATGACGGGGATGGCCCAGGTGTTGAGAGCCTTGATCGTATTTCCGCCATTTAATTTGCTCTTCAAAATCTTTCTGACTCTTTGGATATATTCTTTGCTGACCACATTTTTCACATGCCCATGCTTGATATTGTCCAACTGTAGTATGCCCAGATATTTATAGGCTTCAGGCTGATTGCATTTTATGGTTTGTCCATTTGGCATCTCTATGCTCTCGCTGTGTGTAATTTTCCCTTTCTTTAATGCCACTGTGACACATTTGTCTAGGCCATATTATTATTATTATTATTATTATTATTATTATTATTATTATGTTTATGTTTATGTTTATGTTTATTTATACCCCACTTTAATACTTAAAGGAGACTCAAAGTACACTTTGTTGAGTTGGGTAAAACTGTGGAATTGAACCCCCTTAGAAACGGGATTAATCTGAACATGTCTCATCAAACTTTGAAGGAAGTCAAGTCTTTTTTCATTCTATTTGTGTGTGTGTGTGGTGTAAGTCTGAGACTGACTTGTTTTTCCTTTGAGTGCATCCTGATGTAGGTTTGCAATATGATGACATGTGCTTGTAGTTTCTCGTCTCCATCTTTGTGGCTGAATTTTGTGGTGAGATCAGGGTTTGTTGCATATGAGATGCTTCTTGGGCATCTAAACTGTTAGCTTTCACTTCTTTAGTCCTCCTCCTTTTGGACATGGTTTCCCAGGTTTTTCTGAACAAGGTGTTGAGCTCAAGATTGTGCACCGTTTATGATGCTATTCATATTTATTATTATTGTATTTATTCCCCTGCTTTCCTCTCTTCATTAAGGTCCTCAGAGGATCAGAAATCTGTTGGAAATGAGACAAGTAAAGTGAATATCTCCCCCCCCCCCGTCTCTCTCTCTCTCTCTCTCTCTCTCTCTCAGTGGAATAATGTCCAGGGTGGGAGAAAGATCCCTTGTCTGTTTGAAGCAAGTGTAAATGTTGCAATTAGCCAGCTTGAGTAGCCTTGCAGCTGCAAAGCCTGACTGTTGTTGCCTGGGGGCATACTCTGTTTGGAAGGTGCCAACTGGCACTTGAGTGTTTGATGCCTGGAGTTTCTCTGTTTCTTTTTTACTGTCTTGATTCTGGGGGGGGGGGGGGTTAAAATACTGGTAACTAGATCTTCTTCATTTTCATGGTTTCCTCCTTTCTGTTGAAATGGTCCATGTGCTGCTTGTGGATTTGAGTGGCTTCTCTGTATAGTCTGACATGATGGTTGTCGGAGTGGTCCAGCATTTCTGTGTTCTCAAATATTATAATGTGTTCAGGTTGGTTCATCACATGCTCTGCTATAGCTGACTTCTCTGGTTGGATTAGTGTGCAGTGACTTTCATGCCACTCTGACCGTTGTACAGGTAGGTAGATAGACAGACAGATAGTCAAATGTATGGTGAGGAGATAGATTGATACAAGATAGATAGATAGATAGATAGATAGATAGATAGATAGATAGAATCAAAGATAGATAGATAGATAGATAGATAGATAGATAGATAGATAGATAGAATAGATAGATCAGAAGAAAGAAAGATATGACAGGGTGACAGACAAATGTAGTGGTAGATAGACTGGCTGGTTGGATGAATAGACAGACAGACATACATACAGATGTACAGACAGACAGATAGATAGATGAACAACTGGTAGAAAGATGGATGGATGGAAAGATAGATAGATAGATAGATAGATAGATAGATAAATAGATAGATAGATAGATAGATAGATAGATAGATAGGCAGATAGATAAGTAAATAGATTGATAGAAAGATAAATAGATAGACACGTACTGGTAGAAAGATAGATGGGTAGATGGATGGATATCTAGATGGAAAGATAGATGGAAAGAAAGAAGGATGGATGGATGTACTGGTGGATAGATAGACAAATAGACTGATAGATAGATAGACTGATAGATAGACAGACAGACAGACGTACTGGTAGATAGATAGATAGATAGATAGATAGATAGATAGATAGATAGATAGATAGATAGATAGATAGATAGGAGAAATAGGTAGGTAGGTAGATAGATATGAAAGGGTGACCCTTGGTCAGGCGCTATAGAATCTCTCTGTAATCCGTACCCTTGTTTATGTTCACTCCTTTCTTTTCTTGAGCTCTTTATGCTTCTCTGCCCTGCATAGGAGATAAAACGATTCCCCTTGTTTGACCCACAGGTTCCTCCTGCCTTTAAGCAGAGGGTCTTTGAGGAGCGTATACCCCAGACTTGAGCAAACTTCGTACCTCCAGGTATTTTGGACTTCACCTCTCACAATTCCTAACAGCCTGCTGGCTGTTAGGAATAGTGGGAGTTGAAGTCCAAAACACTTGGAGGGATGAAGTTTTCCAATGCCTGATTGATCCCGCCACCGGTCCATAAAGCAAGGCCCCTTCTCTTTTCTTGTTGGGCACTGAAGGGCTCTTCTTCTCCTTTGCTCCCAGTCTCCTGCCGAGCAAAGAGGGGAGCCAGAGGCAGGCATGTCCCCCGTCGTTCCGGGCCAAGTCGAATCTGTCGAGGTAAGTCGAAACCTGCCAAGGGTTTCTATCAAAGCTCTCCAGCTCCTTGCCTCCTTTTCTCTTCCACCCCCCCCCCCAAAAAAAAAGAATAATAGAAAAGTATAGCTATTCGGAGTTGGAAGTGACCCCCTTCTACAGGAAAATATCAAAGCTCTTCCGACAGATGGACATGCAGCCTTTGCTTCCAGACCTCCAGAGAAGTAGATAGATAGATAGATAGATAGATAGATAGATAGATAGATAGATAGATAGATAGATAGATAGAATAATAATTAGGTTGGTAGGTAGAATAATAGACAGAATAATAGATAGATTAATAGCTAGGTATGTAGAATACTAGATAGCTAGATTAATAGATAGGTTGGCAGATAGAATAATAGGTAGGAAGGTAGAATAATAGGTAGGTAAAATAATAGATGGATAGGTAGAGAGACAGACAGACAGATAGATAGAATAATAGGTAGGTAGGTAGAATAATAGAATAAAAGATAAACAGATTAATAGGTAGGTAGGTAGAATACTAGATAGATAGATTGATAGATTAATAGATTAATAGGTAGGTCGGTAGATAGGTATGTAGGTAGGTAAAATAATAGATAGGTAGGTGGAATAATAGACAGAATAATAGATAGATTAATAGGTAGGTAGGTAGGTAGAGTACTAGATAGATTGATAGATAGAATACTAGATAGATAGGTTGGTAGATAGAATAATAGGTAGGTCGATAGAATAATACATAGATAGAATAAAAGGTAGAATTATAGGTAGGTAGAATAATAGATTAATAGGTAGGTAGAATGGCAGAGTAATAGATAGATTAATAGGTAGGTAGGTAGAATAATAGAATAAAAGATAGATTAATAGGTAGGTAGGTAGAATACTAGATAGATAGATAGATAGATCAATCGATCGATATAGAGGTAGGTAGGTTAATAGGTAGGTTGATAGATAGAATAATAGGTAGGTAGGTAGGTAGGTAGATAGATAGATAGATAGATAGATAGATAGAATAATACGTAGGTAGAATAATAGGTGGGTAGGTAGCCCAGGGGCCCTCCAGTCTAACACCTTTCTGCCAGGCAGGAAAATACAATCAAAGCTCTCCTGACTGATGGCCATGAAGCGTCTGCTTCAAAACTTTAAGAGAAGTAGAAACACAGATAGATTGGTAGATAGATATATAGGCATATGGAAGAATAGTTAGGTAGGTAGGTAGAATAATAGACAGATTGATTAATAGGTAGGTAGAATACTAAATAGATAGATAGATTAATAGGTGGATTGACAGATAGATAGAATAATAGGTAGGTAGAATAATAGGTAGACAGACATATAGATCGAATAATAGATTAATAGGTAGATAGGTAGAATAATAGAATAGAAGATGGGCATACTAATAGGTAGATAGAATACTAGATAGACAGATGTATAGATGGATTGATGGATTGATAGATAGATTAATAGGTAGATTAATAGGTAGGTTGTAGATAGAATAATAGGTAGATAGGTAGAATAATAGGTAGGTAAGTAGACTGATAGATTAATAGATAGGTAGGTTGGTAGATTAATATGTAGGTAGGTAGAATAATAGATAGATAGAATAAAAGATAGAATGGTAGGTAGGTAGTTAGGTAGGAAGGTAGGTAGGTAGAATAATAGAATAACAGATAGATAGATGGATGGATGGATAGATAGATTAATATGTAGGTAGATAGGTAGAATACTAGATAGATAGATTGATTGATTAATAGATAGATAAACAGGTAAGTAGGTTGGTAGATAGAATGGTAGGTAGGTAGGTAGGTAGGTAGGTAGGTAGGTAGGTAGATAGATAGATAGATAGATAGATAGATAGATAGATAGATAGATAGAATAATACATAGGTAGAATAATAGGTAGGTAGCCCAGGGGCCCTCTAGTCTAATCCCTTTCTGCTAAGTAGGAAAATACAGTCAAAGCTCTCCTGACAGCCTCTGCTTTGAAACTTTCAGAGAAGTAAAATGACAGATTGGTAGATAGGCTGACAGACAGACAGACAGAGAGAGAGAGAGAGAGAGAGATAGATGTAGGAAGGTAGGTAGAAAGATAGGTAGGTAGTAGGCATGTGCAATCCATGATTCTAAATGGTTCTAAAGTACTTACAAAACTAAAGTTCTGGTTGTGAAAACTAGGGGGTGCTAGTGCTTTGCTTCTACAGTGTTGCTAAAGTTCTGGTGGTGAAAATTTCAGAACTTTAACAAAACTTTCAAAATTTCATTATTATTTCATTATTGGTGATTTTTATGACAGAACCTATTAGGAACTGCCATTTATGAAATTTTGAAAGTTGTGTTAGAGTTCTGAAAGTTTCACCACCAGAACTTTAGCAACATTGTAGAAGCAAAGCACCATCGCCCCCTAGTGTTCACCCTCAGAACTTTAGTTTTGTAAGTACTTTAGAACCATGGATTACACATGCCTAGGTAGGTATATTGACTCCCGGAGTTCGGAGCAACCCCAAGGGCCTTCCAGCTTCAACCCCCTTCTACCTGGCAGGAAAATACAGTCAAAGCTCTCCTGATAGATGGCCATCCGGCCTCTGCTTTGAAACCTCCAGAGAAGGAGGCACCATCACTTCCCAGGCAGCTTATTCCACTGTTGAACATCTCTTAATTCTCAGGTGGAATCTTTTTTCCCTGCAATTTGAATCTGTTGCTCCATTGTGTTCCCGGAACAGCAGAGAACAAGCTTTGCCCCTTTCCTTCTTCCTCAATGGGATCCCCTTTCAACTATTTCGACTTTCATGTCCCCTTCTTTCTCCCAGCCTTCTTTGCTCCAAGCTCAACATCCCCAGCTCCTTGAGCTGCTCCTTATAGGGCTTAGGTTCCAAACCTTTGATTGTTTTGGTCAAAATGAACCTGGATGCACCAGGGCCAAAATACCAGCACGTCTTTGTTTGGATTTTTATCCGAGCACAGCAGAGCTTTGGAAGAGGCTTTTCCTTTTTTCTCGAGTTCTCTGACTGGGTAAGAATGCTAACAGACACCAGACCCGGTTTTGTCTGGACTCTGATTCCCAGAGAAACACAAAGGTGTCCTCTGCATACTTTCCTTGTTTTCATCTTGTAGAGTTGGAAGAGTTCCCCCAAAGGCCATCCAGTCCAACCCCCTTAGGCCATGCAAGAACGCCTGACCTGTGCCCTCTCAACAGATGACCATTCAGCCTCTGTTTCAAAATCTCCAGGGAAGGAGACTGCACTGGACTCTATGAAAAAGTTTTTTAATTTGTTTGTCAGTTTTTGAAGCGAGCCTTCTTCGAAGGAGACACACTCGCAGCGTAGCATTTGGAGTATTGTACTTTTTCCAGATTCTGGATGAGTTTTGGCCTTGCTTGGTTTCTTGTGCGGGTTTGGATGCATCAGCCACTTTGCAAAGCGCTCATAATTATTGCATATCTTGTAAGATGCTTTCATTTATTTATCTTGTTAGAAGACAGTTGAGAGTACAGCTATAATGTATTTAAAAACACAGTTAAAAACTTGGCATGATACTAAATGTCCTTTGACCAGAAGCTGGCCACTTGAAGTGCCTCTGGTTTGGCTGTGAGAAGGTCCTCCATTGTCCATGTGGCAGGGCTCAGGCTGCATTGTAGTAAGTGGTCTGTGGTTTGCTCTTCTACACACTCGCATGTTGTATACTCCACTTTATAGCCCCATTTCTTAAGGTTGGCTCTGCATCTCGTGGTGCCAGAGCACAGCCTGTTCAACACCTTCCAAGTCGCCGAGCCTTCTGTGTGCCCAGGAAGGAGTCCCTAATTCAGTATCAGCCATGGACTGAGTTCCCGGGTTTTCGCCTGCCACTTTTGGACTCTCACTTGCTGAGATGTTCCTGTGAGTATCGCTGTAGATCTTAGGGAGCTATTTCTTGATTTAAGGTGTTGGCAAGCTGGCTGATATCCGAACAGAGGATGGGCCGGAGATGTCACTGCCTCGGTCTTTTCATTATTGGCTGCTACTTCCCGGTGGATGTCAGGTGGTGCGATACTGGCTAAATAGTATAATTTCTACTGCAGTGTAGGGCAGAGACATCCTGTGATAATGCGGCATGTCTCATTAAGAGCCATATCTACTGTTTTAATGTGGAGCAATGGGCATGCGTACTCGGCAGCAGAGTAGCAAAGCACAAGGGCAGATGTCTTCATTGTGTCTAGTTGTGATCCCCAGGTTGTGCCAGTCAGCTTTCGTATGATATTATTTCTAGCACCCACTTTTTGCTTGATAGTCAAGCAGTGCTTCTTATAAGTCAGAACATGGTCCAGAATGACTCCTAGTTATTTTGGTGTACTGCAATGCTCCTTCCCTGCTCGACATCTTTGTCTGTTCTTAAGGTGAAAAGCTTATGTCTGTGTTTTAGATGGATTAGGAATCAGCTGGTTTTCTCTGTAATAGGCAGTAAGAGCACCTAAAACTTTGTAGAATTTCTGTTCAACCATTTCAAAGCTCCCTGCTTGAGCAGTGATGGCACAGTCATCAGCATAGATGAAACTCTCTGTCCCTTCTGACAGTGACTGATCATTTGTGTAAATGTTGAACATTGATGGAGCAAGCATGCTTCCATGAGGCAGGCCGTTCTTCTGTTTTTGCCATCTGCTTCTCTGACCCTGGAACTCAACAAAAAAGCTCCTGTTTAGTAGCAGAGTCAGGCCCAGCACTTGAGATGTGTAGCTTTTCCCATTTCTGAAACCAGCTTGGTTTCAAAAACGGGTCTAGTTTTTCCATAATTCTGTGCAGGCTTTAGCCTTTGGGCAAATCCAACACATATGATAGAAGATTTGCTTCGTTTGCTTACATTTCCAGCATAGGATGTCTGCCTTAAAAGTGTGTCACCAATACACAAAGTTTGGAAAGGTCTGGTTTCTTTGATTCTCGGCTTCATTTGGTAGGAATCATCCTGAGACGTTTCATGAAACCTTCAGAGATCCTGCAACTTGGGCTCTGCAACCTCATCTTCCCATATATTATTCTTTTTGTCTTTTGTCTTCCAGAGGTCGGCAGATGGGTCCAGTCCAGAAGATGGGGAAGGTGAGCATGTTGGCATGCATGGTCCAATACAGTATTTATTTATTTACAGTATTTATATTCCGCCCGTCTCACGCCGAAGGGGACTCAGAGCAGATTACCGAACACATATATGGCAACCATTCAATGCTGTTATACAATGACAAGACAGAGAACTATACATAGATAGAGGTATATATAGGCTTTCCCATCTTCTGCATCTTGGAGGTTGTGCTCGGTTCTGGCCACAGGGGCTGCTGTCATTTGACTTTCCATGCTGAAGTGCTTTATTCCACCTTGATCGAATCGCCAGCATTTTCCTGGCATAACCTTATGGGTGCCTTAAATACCTCCCCACTCAAACCAGTACCTATATTTATCTACTCACAATTGCTGTTTTCGATCTGTGAGGTAGGCAGAAGCTGGGCTGAAGTCTCACCCTGATCCAGGCTTTGAACTGTCAGCCTTTTGATTGGCAAGATTTTACTGCAACTGATTAACTTACTTGCTAAAGCCCACCCCTGGTCCAAGGGAATCAAAGTTGGTTTTTAAGGGGGCGACAATGGCGGATTGCTTTAGTTCCTTTCTGGTGTATTTCTGCATGCATTAAGATTGCTTTCCCACAGTTATCCCAGTCCCTAGTTGTCCAACTTAAGAAGATTTTAAATGGCTTAAGAGGAGGGCATGATCTGCTTGCTGCTCTTCCTGTCAAAGTGCAGTTAGCATTAGCATGTCAGTAACTAAGAAGATAGCATAGTCTATAGTGAGGAGGGCATCTGCCTAGAAGTTGCCTAGCCTTTGTTCCCTTTGCATTGTTTATTGCCTGGAGACATCCCTTTGTTCGGGTGGCGTTCACTAGCCCTTGGTTGCTTGCTGCCTGGAGACATCATCATCATCATCGTCACCACCCACCTCTCATGGCTTGAGACGGGTTCAGCATAATTAATCACATAAACATTGTAAAATTTTTGTAAATACACATATTAAAATGTATTTCTACAATTTTAATTTGTCTGGGTGGTGTCCAGTAGCTCTTGATTGTTTGCTGCTTAAACACAATTGGCGCTGACAAAATTACTATCTGCCAGCTGCAGAAGGCCACCTTACTGGGATCTGCACGCATTATTTGCCGATACATCACACAGTCCTAGACACTTGGGAAGTGTCCAACGTGTGATCCAATTCAACAGCCAGCAGAGTGTCTGCTGTGGACTCGCCTTGTTGTGTTTCTAATAATAATAACAACAACAACAACAACTGATTCTTGCAGCTCAGGAGCAAGCAATCAGAACAAATGCAATTAAGGCCAGGATTGAAAAATCATCTCATGGCCCAAAATGCAGACTGTGCAAGGAAGCTGATGAAATAATTGATCATATCCTCAGCTGCTGCAAGAAAATCGCACAGACGGACTACAAACAGAGACACAATTATGTGGCCCAAGTGATTCATTGAAACTTACGCCACAAGTACCACCTGTCAGCAGTAAAGAACTGGTGCGATCATCAACCTGCAAAGGTAGTGGAAAATGGACACACAAAAATACTGTGGAACTTTCGAATCCAAACTGACAAAGTTTTGGAACACAAGACACCAGACATCACAATTGTGGAAAAGAAAAAAGTTTTGATAGTTGATTTCACCATACCAGGTGACAGCCGAATTGAAGAAAAGCAACAGGAAAAACCCAGCCGTTATCAAGACCTCAAAATCGAACTGCAAAGGCTCTGGCATAAACAATTGTGATGTCTGGTGTATTGTGTTTCAAAACTTTGTCAGTCTGGATAGGTGGTCCCAGTGATCATCAGCACACTGGGTGCCATGCCAAAAGGTCTCAGCTGGCATTTGAAAACAATAAACATTGACAAAATCACGATCTGTCAACTGCAAAAGGCCACCTTACTTGGATCTGCGTGCATCACCCAAAATACATCACACAGTCCTAAACACTTGGGAAGTGTTCAACTTGGTGATTTTGTGATACGAAATCCAACATATATGTTTGCTGTGTCATACTGTGTTTTTGTGTCAGTAAAACAACAACAACAATTTTATTATGTTAGAAGTAGCCAGGGCTTTGTTCCCTTTGAATTGTTTTCTGCTTGGAGACATCCTTAGCCTGGGTAGAGTTCACTGGCTTTCAATTGTTTGCTATCTGGAATTCCCCTGTGTGCAGGTGGTCTTTATTTACTGTCTCGATTCTGGAGTTTTTTAAATACTGCTAGCCCAATTTTGTTCATTTTTGTGGTTTCCTCCTTTCTGTTGAAATTGTCCACATGCTTGGGGATTTCAGTCGCTTCTCTATGTAGTCTGACATGATGGTAGTCAGCATGGTCTAGAATTTCCCTGTTCTCACATAATATTCTGTGCCCAGCTTGGTTTGTCATGTGTTCTGCTATTGTTGTTTTTTCTGATTGGATGCACCCCAGGCAAAGGATGTCTCCAGGCGATAATCATGTCAAAGGGAACAAAGGCCAGGCTACTTCTTGCCTTCACTAATGGACTATGCTATCTTCTTAGTCACTTACATGCCAGTGGAGGGATCTCACTCAAACACTAGCATATCAACCTTGTTTATTGCACCCTTTAGACTTGGTTTCTTCCCACCCTGGACATTCCACGGGTATACATACTCCACTTGCTTTACCACCATCAGATCCTCTGCAGATGCTAGTCACAGATGCAAGCCAAATATCAGGATGGGAAATTACTGCTAGAACATGGCCGTGCAGCCCAGAAACCACACAACAACACCCCAGTCATTCCAGTTCTCCGTGAAAAGCAGTTGACAATAATCGCCTCATATTTTACTCTCTTTCTCTCCTTTCCAGAGTCTGATCGAGAGGATGGGAGTTACTGCCCCCCAGTAAAGCGGGAAAGGACATCCTCACTCACCCAGTTCCCTCCTTCGCAATCAGGTAAAACAGGGCTCCTTTTTATGAAAGTGCACTTTCCTTTTGCTTCGTTCCCCTTGTTGTGCCCCTTCCTTGTGACTCTTTAGGATCTGGGGAGGAGAGAGCCAAGATGCGGCATGTCGGGGTGAGCCAGGTGCCTCCCTCTCTCTTGCTCTCTGGCTGTTTGCCCTATACAGTGGAACCTTGACTTAAGAGCACCCCATCGTAAGATTGTTTTGAGTTAAGAGCTGTTTTGAGTTAAGACCAGTGTTTTTTTTTCCTAAAATGTTATGAATCTCATTTCCCAAATAATTATGGAGATTCACATTTTCCAAAATCACCAGGCTCAGTCTAAAATTAAGATAGCCACAGCATTATTTGTCGCTGAGGATATTGCGCCTTGAATTGACTCCTTGGGGAGATATTATTACAGTGATACCTCGACTTTCGACTTTTTCAAGATATGAGCCCTCGCTCAACTCATTTTTCACTCCCAAGTTGTGAACTAGCTCTGCGATGCGGGGTGGGGAGAGGCATTGATTGGTGGGGAAAGAGGCACAGATGCTTCCCATCTGTTTCTGTCTATTTGTTTTGGAAGGGTGATGATTTCTTTTAAAAGCATATTATTATGGTATGGTTTTCAGGGGGGGGGGAGACACGGATCAATAGCCTTTCAATGGGAACATTTGCTTTGATATCAGAGTGATTTGAGTTAAGAGCTTGTTCACGGAACAAGTTAAACTCTTAAGCTAAGGCATCATTGTATTACCCATTTGGAGAGCAAGAAGCAGCTTTTGTGCTCTAACTTCCTCCCTCTTTCCCTTTCTGAACCCAGTGACAAAGAACAATGTCTTCATGCCATCGAGCTTCTGTGAACCTTCTGCAGGAAACTCCGACTCGGAGCCAGGTAAGCGGCTCAGGTTGGTCTCTGCCATGCACTCCATGGCGGCTATCATGCCAGGAAGGGAAGCTATATTTCCCTCTTGTGTCAGTCCCTGTACACTGAAAAGTCACATAAATCATCACACACCAGGCCTAAGACTATACGCCAATGTTGAGGAGTAGCCAGTTTAGCCCTTCGTCCTGAATGTGTCCCATTCCCTTGTAAGTCTGTTCATGTTGGCAGCCACCACTCTTGAGTTCTATAGTTTTACCTTTTCTGTGGAGGTAAGCCCAGCTCACTAACAGGGCCAGGAAAGACCCCTGAGAGAGTGTTCGACAGAGCAGGGGATCCTATTGTTTGATGGACTGTTGGGTTCACTTCCCCTGTTCATCTGGTTTGCTTTTCCTGCCAACACCAACCCTACATTACATTTTCGGATTTTCTGGTGAGGCCTTCCTTTCGCTCCCAACACCGTCACAAGCATGGTTGGTGGGGACGAGAGAGAGGGCCTTCTCGGTGGTGGCCCCCCGCCTCTGGAACGCCCTTCCTAGAGAAATAAGACAGGCCCCATCCCTCCCCTCCTTTCGTAAGAGCCTGAAGACCTGGTGGTTTAAACAAACCTTTGAGAACAACTAGTTCTAGCTTAGCCCCAGATAATGTTCAAATTGTCCATATATTTTTCTACCAATTACCCAGGTTACTTTCTTCTATTAGGCCCTGGAAATGTACAGTCATAGACTCTTATCTAATATCCCGGGCTCTCTAAAATTACACAAGCCTTAGCCCGGCCTTTTAAATTGCCTTGAACAGGCAGGATTATTTTAATATATATGTGTTATTGTGGTTTTTAATGCTTATATTGTCTTTTTAATTTTATATTTATGCTGTTTCTTTGTATGTATTGATTATGTTACTTGGAAACCCCTCTGAGTCCCCTCGGGGAGATAGAGCAGTATATAAATAAAGTTTTTTTTGTTGTTGTTGTTCAATCCTAGAGGAGAAAAGCACGGGGTTCCGGCTGAAGCCACCCACCCTCATCCACGGCCAGGCCCCCAGTGCAGGTAAGCTGGGCCCTGGGAGAGCCATCTGGATTACAGGCGCAAGGTGGATGGATGATGGAGATCCTATTTGGCAGCAAAGGGGTGCGCCTTTGTATGGTTCAACCTCTTCCTTCAACAAGTGTTTGAAAACGTCACCCAGGCAGGTTGAACAGAACCTACCCATCAGAGCAATCCCACCATTATTTATTATTTATTTATTTACCGTATTTATATTGTGCTCTTCTCACCCTGAAGGAAACTCAGAGCAGCTCACAGAACATATACAGCAAACATCCAGTGCCGATTATACAATGACAAGACAGACAATACTTAGTTATATTCCTGGACTCTTGTGTGGTGCAGTGGTCATAGGTTTTTCCAGGCCTGGAGTGCTACAGAAATGACATAGGACCAGTTTAGGGCACCGGGAAGGGAAATCACCGCACTGGACACAAGAGGACACATGTTATATTGGGAGGCAGAGGTGGCCATTCTAAACTATAGCTCGAAGGTCTCTCCACCCGACATCCTCCACCCAGGGGGTATTCAAGCTGGGTCTTAGCTTCTGTCTCTCTACAGGGGTCCCAAGCCAGAAGCCCAAGGAGCAGCAGCGGAGCGTCTTGCGCCCAGCCGTCTTGCAAGCCCCCCAGCCCAAGCCTTTCTCGCAAACAGGCAAGTCCCTCTCTTTCATCCAGCCATCTTGAAAGTCAAGGAGACCATTCAAGGCTCTAGATTTCCCCGCTAGTGTCCACAATCCCTTTCCAAATACCTCCCCGTTAACCAAACCAAAGCATTCCTGGGTGTTTGTGCTTTTCAATTTGGTCCCGGAGTCGAAGGTAAACAAGAGTTAGGCTCTATCAAAGAAGGGACCGCAAAGGAGTTTTGCTCATATTTTTCTCCCATTGCTGGTTGTTTCTCATTGCAGTCCCTAGCAGCGGAACCAATGGTGTCGGCATCTGTCCGGATCCTTCAGCAAATGCGTCCGAGTCCCCAACTCGCACCGCAGCGAAAAGCCCCGACCCACAAGAGATGGTGAGGTGGCCACTAATCGGGGGGGGGGGGGGGGGGGGGGGGGGGGGGGGGCTTTCTGGTTTTGCTCTTGCCTAGGTTTTTGGAACTGTCTGATTGAAAAAGAAAGGAAAAAAAGACTGCTCACAGAAAGCTCTCGTTTGTGTTCCTGAACAGGAAAGTTAAGCTGAGGCTGGGAGGATATCTTTCCTTCCTGCCTGGCAAAAGGGGGTTGGACTGGATGGCCCTTGGGGTCTCCCCCAACTATAGGATGGTGATGATGTAGATATAGATATACAGTGGGGGGGGGGGAGTATTTAGTCAGATACAATCAGTAACACACTACGCCGCCAGGGACTCAGATCCTGCAGTGCCAGATGTGTCCCCCGCTTAAGCAAGTACATGTCCAGGGCTGACTGAAGTTTGCTAGGTTTTTGGAACTGTCTGATTGAAAAAGAAAGGGGAAAAAGACTGCTCACAAAAAGCTCTCGTTTGTGTTCCTGAACAGGAAAGTTAAGCTGAGGCTTAATATTATATTATATTATATTATAATATTATAATATTACAATGTAATATAATATAATATTAGTAATAATAATACAATATTATAATTATAATTATATATTTACATTACATGTAATATTACTAGTAATATTACAATATAATGGTATAGTGCAATATAGTAATATATAATACTGATATTGTACTATGCTAATAATATAATATATTGTATGAAAATATATATTGTAAGCTGCTCTGAGTCCCCTTCGGGGTGAGAAGGGCAGCATATAAATGCCGTAAATCAATCAATAAATAAATATTGGGAGAATGTCATATGGTCAGATGAAACCAAAGTAGAACTGTTTGGCAGAAACACAACTCATCTTGTTTGGAGGAGAAAGAATGCTGAGTTGCATCCAAAGAACACCATACCTACTGTGAAGCATGCAGGTGGCAACATCATGCTTTGGGGCTGTTTCTCTGCAAAGGGACCAGGGTGACTGATCCATATGCATGAAAGAACAAATGGGGCCATGTATCGTGAGATTTTGAGTGCAAACCTTCCATCAGCAAGGGCACTGAAGATGAAACGTGGCTGGGTCTTTCAACATGACAGTGATCCTAAGCACGCTGCCAGGGGAACAAAGGAGTGGCTTCGTATGAAGCATTTCAAGATCCTGGAGTGGCCTAGCCATTCTCCAGATCTTTGGAGGGAGTTGAAAGTCCGTGTTGCCCAGCGACAGCCCCAAAACATCACTGCCCTTGAGGAGATCTGTATGGAGGAATGGGCCAACATACCAGCAACAGTGTGTGCCAACCTTGTGAGAACTTACAGAAAACATTTGACCTCTGTCATTGCCAATAAAGGATACATAACAAAAGTATTAAGATGAACTTTTGTTATGGACCAAATACTTATATTCCACTATAATTAGCAAATAAATTTGTTAAAAATCAGACAATGTGATTTTCTGGATGTGTTTTCTCATGTTGTCTCTCATAGTTGAGGTCTACCTATGATGTCAATTACAGGCCTCTCTCATCTTTTTAACTAGGAGAACTTGTACAATTGGTATCTGACTAAATACTCCCCCCCCCCCCCCCCCCCCCCCCCCCCCCACTGTAGATATAGATATAAATATAGTAATGCTATCTTCCTGCCTGGCAAAAGGAGGTTGGGCTAGCTGGCCTTTGGGGGTCTCTTCCAACTCTAGAAGTATAATAGAAGTATGTTTTGTTGATTAGCTCATCGGCCATATCAAAACATTTTACACATTCGCATACACATCTAGGAAAATAACAACAACAACAACAACAACAACAACAATGTAATGCAATCTTCCTGTCTGGCAGAAAGGGTTGGGCTGGATGGCCCTTGGGGACTCTTCCAACCCTAAGAAGAAGAAGAAGATAGCAACAACAACAATATAGTAATTCTATATTAATTTTAGTGATTTTAAATGAATGTTTTAATGTTTTAATTAACTGTTTTAAGTGTAATTATTATTTATAAAATTGTTTATGGCAGTGTTTCTCAACCTGGGGGTCGGGACCCCTGGAGGGGTCGCGAAGGGGTGTCAGAGGGGTCGCCAAAGACCATCAGAAAACACAGTATTTTCTGTTGGTCATGGGGGTCTCTGTGTGGGAAGTTGTTGGGGTTCAGAACGCTCCTTGATTGTAGGTGAACTATAAATCCCAGCAAGTACAACTCCCAAATCTCAAGGTCTATTTTCCCAAAACCCCACGAGTGTTCACATTTGAACACACTGAGTATTCGTGCCAAGTGTGGTCCAGATCCATCATTGTTGGAGTCTAGAGTGCTCTCTGGATATAGGCGAACTTCAACTCCCAAACTCAAGGTCAATGCCCACCAAACCCTTCCAGTATTTTCTGTTGGTCATGGGAGTTCTTTGGTTCAATTCCACTCTTGGTGGGGTTCAGAATGCTCTTTGTTTATAGGTTAACTATAAATCCCAGCAACTACAACTCCCAAATGGCAAAATCAATCCCCCCACCAACCCCACCAGTATTCAAATTTGGGCATACTGGGTATTTGTGCCAAATTTGCTCCAGTGAATGAAAATACATCTTGCAGATCATTATTTACATGGATTTTCATAATGTTAGGGTTATGGTTGGGGGTCACCACAACATGAGGAACTGTATTAAGGGGTCGTGGCATTAGGAAGGTTGAGAACCACTGGTTTATGGCATCAAATGGTTGCCTGCTGTAAGCTGCCCTGAGTCTCCCCTCAGGGGTGAGAAGGACAGGATACAAATATGCGAAATAAATAAATTCTATCTTCCTGCCTGGCAGAAGGAGACTAGACTGCATGGCCCTTGGGGTCTCTTCCAACTCTAGGATGATGATAATACTAATAATTTTTCTTCTCTCCTGCGCAGGAGAAGCCCTGCCCGTTGAAGGAGTCCAGCAATACCTCGGAGGCCGAGAGATGCGAAAAGGCCGAGCAGAATGCGCAGCAGTCCTTTGTCTTTGGGCAAAACCTCCGGGACCGAGTCAAGGTGTGTCTTCATATTGCAACATTATTATTGTTGTTGTTATTGTTGTTATTATTATTACGGTATCTTCTATTCCAAAAGTAAATACATTCTTATCATCTGGCATTCGCATTATTTTTTTCTCTTCTTGCATTATTATTATTATGATTATTATTATGTTTATTTGTAACCTGCTTTATCTCTCCTGAAGTGGCCATATATCTATTATTAGTATTAGAATTCATTATTATTATTATTATTATTTAATTTTTATTATGTTTATTTATACTCCCGCTTTATCTCTTCCAAAGGAGACTCAAAGAGGCTTAACATAAAAAGCGTCAGCATGCAAACATTAAAACAGAATTAAATATAAACAAAATTAATAAATACTTATTATATTAGTCTATACAGATTCCATGTATATATATGTGTGTGTGTTCATATATATATAAACACACACATACAGGTTTCAGGGTTGGGAAAATAGAGATGCTCATGAGACTCCAAGTCAATATGATATTATTGTTGTCGTTATTATTATTATTTAGAGCCCCCTCGGGGTGAGAAAAGCGGTATACAAATACTGTAAATAAATAATAGAGTATTTATACCCCGCTCTTCAACCAAAAAAAGACTTTCGGAGCAGCTAATAATAATAATAATAACAACAACAATAATAATAATGTTATATCTTACCCACCTTTCCTTGTGGCTAGTAATAATAATATGATAATAATATTTTGATTTCTTACCTGCCTTTCCTCATGGCACAGTCAAAACACGCAAACATTGCAAATCAGCACATAGAAGATGGTTTTGAAAGATTACAGGAGCTGTCTTCATAGAGCTGTGAGCAACTTATGATACTTTAAATCATTGTTTCCTCCTGAGAAATATGTATAACATCACAATGGATTACCACCTCACTCGCTTCATAGGAAATCTGCTACAAAACAGGAGCTTTTTTGTTGAGTTCCAGCGCCAGAGGAGGAGGTGGTGAAAACAGAACAGTGGCCTGCCTCAGGGGAGCGTGCTTGCTCCATCCATATTTAACATTTACACAAACGATCAGCCATTGCCAGAAGGAACAAGGCTGCATTATCACAGGATGTCTACACCCTGCAATACTGGAGAAATTATACTGTTTAGCCGGTATTGCACCACCTGACATCCGTCAGGAAGTAGCAGCCATTAATGAAAGAACCAAGGCATTGACATCTCCGGCACATCCTCTGTTTGGATGTCAGCCAGAATGACAACATCTTAAATCAAGAAATGGCTTCGTAAGATCTACAGAGATACTCAGCAAGCGAGAGTCCAAAACCTGGAACCTCAATCAGTGGCTGAGACCGGATGAGAGACTCCCTCCTGGGCACACAGAAGACTGGGCGACTTGGAAGGCGCTGAACAGACTGCACTCTGGCACCACAAGATGCAGAGCTAACCTTAAGAAATGGGGCCACAAAGTGGAGTCTGCGACATGCAAGTGTGGAGAAGAGCAAACCACAGACCACAGACTACAATGCGGTCTGAGCACTGCCACATGCACAATGGGGGCCTTCTCTCAGTGACACCAGAGGCATTCCAAATGGTCAACTTCTGATCAAAGGACATTTAGTATTATGCCAAGTTTTTATCTTTGTTTGTGGGCTTTCTATTCATTATAACTGTATTCTCAATTCATTTCTGACACGATAAATAAACGTTGCAAAAAAAATTTCTATAAACACACGTATTACATGAATATTTCCATAAAAGTTACATATTTAAATATATTTCTATGCAATGCATATCAAATAATACAGAACGAACCCCAATGCTTCCTCTTCATCCTGGAAAGAAGTGATGAGCGGAGTGCCGCAGGGGTCCGTCCTTGGGCCGGTCCTGTTCAACATCTTTATGAATGACTTAGACGAAAGGTTAAACTTGTGCGCCAGCTGCGCCCGTACCTTGGGAAGTATGACTTGGCCACGGTTGTCCACGCTCTGGTTACATCCCGCATAGACTACTGCAATGCTCTCTACGTGGAGTTGCCTTTGAAGACTGCTCGGAAGCTTCAAATGGTCCAGCGCTTGGCAGCCAGGTTGCTAACAGGAGCGGCACTCAGGGAGCATACTACTCCTCTGTTGAATCAGCTCCACTGGCTACCAGTTTGCTACCGGGCACAATTCAAAGTGCTGGCGTTAGCCTATAAAGCCCGAAACGGTTCTGGCCCTACTTACCTCTCCGAACGCATCTCCTCCTATGAACCGGCTAGGACACTAAGATCATCTGGGGAGGCCCTGCTCACCTGCATCACAGGCGTGCTTGGCAGGGACGAGAGACAGGGCCTTCTCAGTGGTGGCCCCTCGGCTGTGGAATGCCCTGCCTGCAGATATCAGATTGGCCCCCTCCCTGCTGGCGTTTCGGAGGAAAGTGAAGACCTGGCTGTTCGAACAAGCATTTGATTAAACAGTGTAATTGAACATAGGAATACGGAATAATGGATGACAAGACTGGATTCTGATTTTACTGTTGAGGCGCTAATGATTGTTATACTGATGTTAATGATTTATGTGATAATTGTTTTTAATTGCCCTATACTTGTTTTGTGATATTTTGTACTGATGTTGTTCACCGCTTTGAGTTGCCTGAGGGCTGAGAAAAGCGGTATAGAAATAAAGTAAAGTAAATAATAAATTAGAAGGCATGATAATTACGTTTGCAGACGACACCAAATTGGGAGGGATAGACAATACTCCAGAAGAGAGGAACAGAATTCAAAACGATCTTAACAGATTAGAAAGATGGGCTAAAACAACAAAATGAAGTTCAACAGGGACAAATGCAAGATACTCCACTTAGGCAGAAAAAATGAAATGCAAAGATACAGAATGGGGGACAATGCCTGGCTCGAGAGCAGTACATGTGAAAAAGATCTTGGGGTCCTTGTGGACAACAAGTTAAACATGAGCCAACAATATGATGTGGCGGCAAAAAAAGCCAATGGGATTTTGGCCTGCATCAATAGGAGCATAGTGTCTAGATCTAGGGAAGTCATGCTACCCCTCTATTCCGCTTTGGTTAGACCACACCTGGAATATTGTGTCCAATTCTGGGCACCACAATTGAAGAGAGATATTGACAAGCTGGAATGTGTCCCGAGGAGGGCGACGAAAATGATCAAGGGTCTGGCGAACAAGTCCTATGAGGAGCGGCTTAAAGAACTGGACATGTTTAGCCTGAAGAAGAGAAGGCTGAGAGGAGACATGATAGCCATGTATTAATACATGAGAGGAAGTCATAGGGAGGAGGGAGCAAGCTTGTTTTCTGCTTCCTTGCAGACTAGGATGAGGAACAATGGCTTCAAACTACAAGAGAGGAGATTTCATCTGAACATGAGGAAGAACTTCCTGACTGTGAGAGCCATTCAGCAGTGGAACTCTCTGCCCTGGAGTGTGGTAGAGCCTCCTTCTTTGGAAGCTTTTAAACAGAGGCTGGATGGCCATCTGTCGGGGGTGCTTTGAATGCAATTTTCCTGCTTCTTGGCAGGGGGTTGGACTGGATGGCCCATGAGGTCTCTTCCAACTCTATGATTCTAGGAGAGAGATGAAAACACAGGAGAGCACAGGTTTAGAAATCCATGCTGGTGGGCGCAGTGCTCTCTCTTTACTTGTCATCCTTCTCTCTTCCCAGCTAGGAAATGAAAATGACGAAGCTGCGGATGCGCAGAACGCGGGGCTGCCCAGCGCAGAGGCACCTTCTGCCACAAACTACTTCCTCCAGTACATCAGCTCCAGGTGAGAAGGATGAGGTGTCCACTGGCCTCTCAGCCTCGAGGAAGGGTTCGAACTGCATTTTTTCAGTGGGGTTTTAAGTCTGTATCTCTTGGGTTGCTGTGAGTTTTCTAGGCTGTATAGCCGTGTTCCAGCCTCATTCTCTCCTAACGTTTCACCTGCATCACTGGCTAATCACTGAGGCTGGAACCTCAGGTCTCGGCAGTGGCCAGAGAAGCCTTTCCACAATTAAAACCCATGCACCAGCTGCACCCGTACCTTGGGAAGTCTGATCTGGCCACAGTGGTCCACGCTCTTGTTACATCATGAATAGATTATTGCAACGCACTCTATGTGGGGTTTCCTTTGAAGACTGTTTGGATATTCCAACTAGTCCAACAGTCAGCAGCCAGATTACTCACCGGAGCGATTTACAGGGAGCACACCGCCCCCCGCTTCATCAGCTCCACTGGCTGCCGGTCCACTTCCGAGCACAATTCAAAGTGCTGTTCTTAACCTATAAAGCTCTAAACAGTTCTGGCCCAGTTTACTTGTCCAAAGATATTTCCCTCTATGACCCACCTCGCAGTTTACAATTGTCAGGGGAGGCCCTGCTCTTGATCCCGCCACCCTCGCAAGCGAGACTGGCGGAGACGAGGAACAGAGCCTTTGCAGTGGTGGCCCCAAGTCTGTGGAATGCACTCCCCAGTGAAATCAGGGAGACTCCACGTCTCCTCTCCTTTAGGAAAAAACTTAAGTCTTGGCTCTGGGACCAAGCATTTAGGCAGCTGGCTGAGGAACAACTGTAATGACTCTTGAGAATTGTCAATGAACTGGAACTCTGGACTATGATTTGGATTTGCGGACTCAGATTTGGTTGTGTTAATATTTTAAGGGCCATTATTTTTAATGGGACAGATCAGGACATAGGGTCTTGCATGGGGTCTTGCCAGAGGCGGCCCTAGGTAATTTTCAACGGCAAGCAAACTGTATTTTGGTTCAATTCCATCATTGGTGGAGTTCAGAATGCTCTTTGATTGTAGGTGAACTATACATCCCAGTAACTACACTTGCCGCACTTGCTCCCTTGCCTGGCCCGCTTTGGGTCCGGAGGCGTGCCTGAAGACCCCGGCGTGTGCACCAAAAGTCACCTCTTCTCCTGACTTTCTCCTCAGCCATTGGGACCGAGAGAGAGAGAGAGAGAGGAGGTGGAGATGCCCACCTTTCCTGAAGGTAGGCGCAAAAACAAAGGAGGGAGCGGAGGTGGGAGATACCTCCAGCCGGAGGGGCTCTCTCTCTCTCTCTCTCTCTCTCCTGGTCCCAATGGCTGAAGAGAAAGTCAGGAGAAGAGGCCGACTTTTGGTGCGCACGCTGGGGTCTTCAGACATGCCTCCGGACCTGAAGCGGGCCAGGCGCGGCGGCTCCGCCCCTTGGCCCACCCGTGGATTGGGGAGAGGAGAGGAGGCGGGTGGAGTGCCGGGGGATCGGGAAAGGGAGCCGGTCATGGGGAAGGGATCGAACGCGGAGAACGATTGAGCGCCGGCTCTGCTCGCACCCGGTGGCCGGGTGGAGCAGGAACGAGAGGGGCTAGGCGAGGCTCAAGGGCCCGGCCCCTTTGGGAAGAGGATCTCCCGGCAAGGCAAGAAAGCCGAGGCTCCCCCCGGACTGCTAGGGCTGTTGTGAACTGAGGGGGCGCTCCTCAAGTGGTGGTCAAGGGGCATTTACAGAGGCGCCTCTGCACCCCTGGCAAAACAAAGTGCTCTGCGACCGCTTACTTCGCGTAATGGACGGGCCGCCCCTGGGTCTTGTTTTAACACATAAGGTCTTGCTTTAACACCATGCCTAAAATACCTCTCCGCTTAATGGGATTCCTATTCATCTACTCACATTGCTGTTTTCAATCCGCTAGGTGGGCAGGGGAGCTGAGCTGAAGGTCAGGAGCTCACCCTGACACGGCTTCGAACTGTCAACCTTTGGTTGGCAAGATTTACTGCAGCTGCAGCAGGTGATTAACCTGCTGTTCTAAAGCTGATCCTATTACTATTAATGATGATGATGATAGTGATAAATTTGCCCTCTCCCAGGATGACATTTATTGTTGTTATTATTTATTGAGTAACGTTGGAGGTCCTAGAAATAGCAATGTTTAGGTCTTCCCATGCAATCGTATGGTCTGCCAGGAGCGGATGCCATATACTTGAATGGGGTTGAGTCGTACTTATGGTTCTTTCTGCAGCATAGAAAACTCGACGCACTGTGCGGAAGCCGCCAGCAATAAGTTCGTCTTTGGGCAGAACATGAGCGAGAGAGTCTTGGTGAGTCCAGTGGAATTAATAATAATAACAGTAGAAATATTAAACATAATTATTCATTATATTGTGATGATTATTCAATGCCACAGAGGCCAGGGTCCATAGAATCCTGGTTTGCGGAATCATACAGTTGGAACAGATCCCAAAGGCCATCCAGGCCATCCTCATTCAGCCAGACAGAAGAACACCATCAAACCCCTCCCAACAGATGGCCATCCGGCCTCATAAATATTAGAAGGCTCATTGGGAAATTGAGCTATTGAGTCATAGAAACCTAGAGTTCAAAGAGACCCCCAAGAGTCAGTCCAACCCCCTTCTGCCAAGCAAGAACACACCATCCAAACCTTCCTAACAGATGGCAATCCAGCTTGTGCTTGAAAATGCTTATTGTTATTATTATTATTATTATTATTATTATTATTATTATTATTATTTATACCCTGCTTTTCTCTCCCCAAAGAAACTCAAAGCTAGATAGATGTTGTTGTTGTTGTTACATAACACAGAATAATAAAATTCCTAAGGTTGGGAGGGATCCCCAAAGGCCATCTAGTCTGGCCCCCTTCTGCCAAGCAAGAAAACACCATCCAAACCCTCCCAACAGATTGACATCCAGCCTCTGCTTAAAAATACACATTATTACTATTATTATTATTATTATTATTATTATTATTATTAGATTTGTTTATACCCTGCTTTTCTCTCCACAAGGAGACTCAAAGCAACTCAAAGATAGATAGATAGGTAGGTAGTTGTTGTTGTTACAGTTACAATTATGTATCATAGACTCCTGGAGTAGGAAGGACCCCCTAAGGGCCATCCAGTTTATCGTCCTTTCTGCCAGGCAGGAAGGACACCATCAAAGCCCTCCCAACAGTTGACCATCCAGTCTCATAGACATCAGAGGCTTCATGGAGAAATTGAGCAATTGGATCATAGAATGCTAGAGTTGGAAGGGATCACAAAAGGCCATCCAGTCTGACCCCCTTCGGCCAAGCAAGCAGACACCATCCAAACCTTCCCAACAGATGGCCATCCAGCCTCATAGATTTTAGAAGATTTGGGGAGAAATTGAGCTATTGGGTCACATAAACCTAGAGTTGGAAGGGAGCACAAGGGCCATCCTGCCCAGCCTCATTATGGCGTAACGCAACATGACCCCTCCCGACAGATGGCCATCCAGCCTCATCGACATTAAAAGGTTTACAGAGAAATAAGACTATAGAATCATAGAATGCTAGAGTTGGGAGGGACCCCCAAGGGCCAGCCAATCCAAACCCCTTCTGCCAGAAATGGGGACACAACCGAAACCCTTCCGACAGTTGGCCGTCCAGCCTCATGACCTCTCCCAGTCTTTTTTGCAGAGCCCACCCAAATCCAGCGAAGCCGGCACTGACAGCAACAAGGAAAATGCCGGAGGCGATTCTGGCTCAGAATCCTCTTCGCAGGAAGCCACTCCTGAGAAAGGTAACAGCTCTTCATCCAAGCTGCTATTTATCCTGTCTGTCTGTCTGTCTGTCTGTCTGTCTGTCTATCTATCTATCTATCTATCTATCTATCTATCTATCTATCTATCTATCTATGTATCTGTACACATACATACATACATACATACATACTAGTTTGGGCACCCAGCGTTGCCCGGGTTAATTGAAAAAGTCTTTTATTTTACAACATGCATAAGGTTGTGGGTGAACTACAACTCACATCACACCAGGTTAACCCCCAGAAACTTCATCAGCACTTAAAGTTTGTTATGTTGGGCAAGTTTGCTCTAGATGCATCATGGGTGGGGTTCAGTGTGCTTTCTGACTGTAGGGCAAACTACAACTCCCACTATGGTGAGTCAGTTCCCTGGTTTGCGGAATCAAGGAGGTCACAGTTGCTCTTGCTGTAGGTGAGCTACAACTCCCAAAACTCAAGGTCAATCCCCTCCCAAACCCCTCCAGTAATCAAATTTGGGCATATCAGGTATGCATGCCAAGTTTGATCCAGATCCATCAGCTTTTGGGTTCACAGTGCTGTCTGGATATAGGTGAACTACAACTCCCCCAGATCAAGGTGAATTTTCCCCAAAGACCTCCAGTATTTTTTGATGGTCACGGAAGATCTGTGTGCCTAGGTTGATCCACTTTGCTTTTTGGTAGGATTCAGAGTGCTCTTTGATTGCAGGTGAACTATAAATCCCAGTACCTACAACTCCTATAAATCAAGGTGAATTCCTCCCAAACCTCTCCAGTATTTCTAATTGGTCATGGGGGTTCTGGGTGCCAAGTTGCAGGTCCATCATTGATGGGGTTCAGAGTGCTCTTAGATTGTAGGTGAACTATAAATCCCAATACCTACAACTTCTATAAGTCGAGGTGAATTCCTCCCAAACCTCCCTGGTATATTTTGTTGGTCATGGGGGCTCTGTGTGCCAAATGTGGTCCAGGTCCATTGTCAGTGGGGATCGTCTTGATGCAGGGTGAACTACAACTTCCATCATGGTAAATTCTCCCCCAAATCTCTCTAGTATGTTCAGTTGCTGATCAATTACTCTGTTTGCTGTGTGCCATGGAGAAGAATAGGAAAGAGTTAAAGAAGAGGCAGTGGGCGGGGTCATGCAAATTCCACACCAATGGAGAGAAAGAAACACTGGGATGTTTCTGGTGGAAGAAAAACAGTAAATGTAGGATGAAATTGTCCCCATATGAAAGTCTTCACTTGGGTGGTGGGCAGTATGGTGTTGGTGGAGGACATTGGCTGGGCTCTTGGACATGTTCATGGCGCTTACTATAACCTGCAATGTCATTGGATGTAGGGCTGTTGGGGTCTCCTGTGTAGTGGTAGCTATTGCTGTTTGTGGGTGCCGGAGCTTGTCTGTGTACACATACATATTTTTCACTTTTACAATGTGTATAGATAACAATACATTCTAATACTAATAATAGATATATAGCCGCTTTGAATGTCCTGGTGGAGAGAAAAAGCAGGCTATAAATAAACATAAAAATAGTAAAAGTGACTGCAACACCCATGATCCCCGCACCAGATTTAGCCCTGCCCTCCTGTCTCTATTTAGCCAACAACATTTCGGAGTCACTGGCGGAGTCAGCTGCGGCCTACACCAAGGCGACGGCCCGGAAGTGTCTGCTGGAGAAGGTGGAGGTCATCACCGGGGAAGAAGCCGAGAGCAACGTCCTGCAGGTCAGTCTGGATTCCGGGCTGCATGGCCAATGTGATCTGGCAGCATTTTCTCCTGACATTTCGGCAGTATCTCTGGCTACTAGCATCTTCAGAAGAAATCATGGGAGTAAAGCAAGTGGAGTACATTATGTGCCTGTTGAATAATGTCCAGGGTGGGAGGAAAGAACCAACCTTGAAGATCGTATAGTCCAGGGGTAGGGAACCTTTGGCCCTCCAGCTGTGGTGGACTTCAACTCCCACAATTCCTTGAGGCTCGGCATTGGGCCAAGGTAAGCCCATGATGAGTGAAGGCATCTGTTGGGAAGTAGCCTAGTCTTTGTTCCTGGAGACACCCTTTGCCTGGGTGGCATTCACTGGCCTGGAGACATTATTGTTGTTGTTGTTGTTGTTGTTGTTGTTGTTGAAGTAGCCTGGCCTTTGTTCCCTTTGAATAGCTCATTGAATAGTTTATTATTATTATTATTATTATTATTATTATTATTAATGTTATTATTTGATACATAACAAGATTGGTACACAGCAAACAAGATCACTATGCTGGCTTTTATATTCGACCATAGGTCGGACACTTCACTAGTGTGATCTATCGGCGAATAATTCATGCAGATCCAAATAGGGTGGCCTTTTGCAGCTGACAGGTATTAATTTTGTCAGCACCAATTGTTTTTAAGTGCAGACCGAGGTCTTTAGGCACTGCACCCAGTGTGCCAATCACCACTGGGACCAACTTTACTGGCTTATTATTATTATTATTATTATTATCATCATTTTAGAAGCCTGGCATTTGTTCCCTCTGACAATATTTATTTACTTATTTACTGCATTTATATACTGCTTTTCTCCCCCTGAGGGGACTCAAAGCGGTTTCCAACGGAATAATGGCAAAATTCAATGCTGTACATACATGTGAAAACCTAAACATAATAGCTAGACAATAACATATAACTATAAATTAGAAACTTAACCATATTAAAGCATAAGTCAAAAATAACATTAGGCATAAAACATAAAGTTAAAACATTGACCATACAATAATATTCATATTAAAACCCATTGGTTAAACAACACAATTTAAAAACAGTTATTAAAATCAGTTAATATTGAATAGTTCGTTGAATAGTTCATTATTATTGCTATTATTATTATTACTGTTATGGAAGTAGCCTGGCCTTTATCCCTTGGAATAGTCCATTGCGTGGAGACATCCTTAGTCTGGATGGCGTTTGCTAGCCCTTGATTGCTTTCTGCCTGGAGACATCATAATAATAGTTGTTGTTTTTATTATTATTATTATTATTATTATTATTATTATTATTATTATTATGGAAGTAGTCTGGCCTTGGATGGGCTTGGATGGTGTCTTCCTGCATAGCAGAATGGAGTTGGACTACATGGCCATCTGTCAGGGGGGCTTGGATGGTGTCTTCCTGCATAGGAAGTGGTGTTCGCTGGCCCTTGATTGCTTGCTGCCTGAAGGCCCCCTATGTCCAGGTAGCATTCATTCATTGCTGTTTTGATTCTGGAAGCCCCCAGGGTTTAAATGGCAGGAAAAGAGATTCCGTGAAAACATTAGGAAGAACATCCTGGTGGCCAGAAGCACCTGGGAGTCTGGTGCTTTTGAAGCAGAGGCTGGATGGCCATCTATTGGGAGGGCTTTGACTATGTCTTCCTTAATGGCAGAAGGGGATCTCTTTCAACTGTAGGATTATATCATTCTGTAGTAGCCCTGTTACTCCAGGAACCTTCTAATATCTATGAGGTTGGATGGCCATCTGTTGGGAGGGACTGGATAGGGGTCTTCTTGCATGAGAGAAAAGGGTCAGACTGGATGACCATCTGTCAAGAGGGCTTGGATGGTGTCTTTCTGCATACTAGAATGAAGCTGGACTGGATAGCCATCCATTGGGAGGGCTTGGATGGTGCATTCCTGCTTAGCAGAATGGAGTTGGACTGGATGGCCATCTGCCGGGAGGGCTTGGATGGGGTCTTGCACGACAGAAATGACCCACCCACTTTCTCTCTCTCTCATGCAGATTCAATGTAAGCTATTTGTCTTCGACAAGGTCTCCCAGTCCTGGGTGGAAAGAGGTCGGGGGCTCCTGCGACTGAACGACATGGCTTCCACGGATGACGGCACGCTGCAGTCGCGACTGGGTGAGATGACCAGACCCGCCGATGACCAGCCCAAAGGGTCATTTTGCCCTGCCCAGATATCCCTGCCATCTCTGGCTATCTTAACAGGCATATGGGGGTGGGATATCATGGTCCGAAAGGCCTTGTTGGGGTTCCAACCCAAACGCATAAGGGTCACGACTTGCTCTCCGCATTGCCGCCTGGCACCGAAAGATGAATAGAATAGAATAACTTTATTGTAACTGTACATTGATCTTCACGTCTTATCTTTGAGCCTCCTTGTGGAGAGAAAGGCAAGGTAATAATAATAATAATAATAATAATAATAATAATAATAATAATAATAATAATAATAATATCTATTGGGTCTGTCTTTGAGCTGCTTTGAGTCTCCTTGTGGAGAGAAAAGCAGGGTACAAATAAATATAATATTCATAATAATAACTATGGATCATTGATGTTGTGAGCCCCCGGTGGCGCAGTGGGTTAAACCCCTGCGCCGGCAGGACTGAAGACTGACAGGTCACAGGTTCGAATCCAGGGAGAGGCGGATGAGCTCCCTCTATCAGCTCCAGCTCCTAATGCGGGGACATAAGAGAAGCCTCCCACAAGGATGATAAAAACATTAAAATCATCCGGGCGTCCCCTGGGCAACGTCCTTGCAGATGGCCAATTCTCTCACACCAGAAGCGACTTGCAGTTTCTCAAGTTGCTCCTGAAACGACAAAAATTGATGTTGTAATCCCAGGCAACAGCAGAATCAATGAGAAGCAACTGAAAAAGCTTACGATATGAGGAAATAATAATAATAATAATAATAATATTTATTTATTTATTTATTTATTAATAATAATCTTTGTTTATACCCCGCCACCATCTCCCCAATGGGGACTTGGAGTGGCTTACATGAGGCCAAGCCCAAACAACAAATTACAATAGAGTAAAACTGAAAAGATTAAAGATTGAACGGCAAAGACTCTGGCACAAGCCAGTAAAGGCGGTCCCAGTGGTGATCAGCACACTGGGTGCAGTGCCTAAAGACTTTGGCCTGCACTTAAAAACAGTTGGTGCTGACACAATTACCATCTGTCAGCTGCAGAAGGCCCCACCCTACTCAGATCTGCACACACTCTTCGCCAATCCATCACACAGTCCTACACACTTGAGAAGTGTCTGATGTGCAACCAAATACAAAAGCCAGCATAGTGATCTTCTTTGCTGTGTACTAATCTTGTTATGTATCAAATAATAATAATATCTATCTAACTTGAATTCTGTCTTTGAGCCGCTTTGAGTCTGTGGAGAGAAAAGCAAGGTACAAATAAACATATTAATAATAATATCTATCTTTGAGTCTCCTTGGGGAGAGAAAAGCAGGCTATAAATAAACAACAACAATAATAGGCTCGTATTGTAAATACATCAGTCCTCAAGCAGAGGAAGGCTTGCATTTCAGTGTTGTGATTGCAGTTCAAATTCCCCCCTCCCCTTTTCCTCCCCATCTCTTTCCCAGTCATGCGAACGCAGGGAAGTCTGCGCCTCATCCTGAACACCAAACTGTGGGCCCAGATGCAAATCGACAAGGCCAGCGAGAAGAGCATCCGCATCACGGCCATGGACACCGAGGACCAGGGCGTCAAGGTCTTCCTCATATCGGTAGGCAGGGGAGCATGATTGTAAAGGGAAGGATGGGATAGAATAGAATAACCTCATTGTCATTGTACATCTATATCTATATCTATCTATATAATAAAAGAGAGTGTTTGTTTGTATCGGACAGAGGAAGTGCGACGGGAGGAGTATGTGCCAGCGTTCTGATTGGCTGCCGCTGTGGTGCTATTTGCATATGGTCTCTGATTGGCCAGCTTCAATAGGAGCCCCTGGTGGAGAAGAGGGTTCATGGCAGAAACGGGGACATGAGAAGGAAATTTGCATATGGTCTCTGATTGGCCAGCCTCAATTCCAAGATTCCGAGATGACAAAGAGAGGAAAGGAAAAGGCCAGAGGGGGCGGAGTCAGAACATTACCAATACAGACCAGACTTGGCACACAAAGCCCCCATGACCCACTCGACATCCTACTGCAGTTTGGAGGAGGATGAACCATGGATGATGGGACTTGCAGTACCATCACTCACATTCTGAGACCGCTGTTAACCTCATCCAATGACTGATCAGGACCAAACTTGGCACATAGACCTCTCATGACCCACTTTACGTCCTGGTGTGGTTTGGCCGAGGGATGGACCATGGATTATGGGACTTGCAGTACTTTTGCTCAATTCTTGAGACCACTGCAACCCTCATCCAATTACCGATAAAGACCAAACTTGGCACACTGAGTCTCCATGACGCACTCTACATCCTGGTGCGGCTTGGAGGAGGATGCACCATGGACGATGGGACTTGCAATACCAGCACTCCTTTCCTAAAACCATTGTAACTGCCAACAATGATGGATCAGGACCACAATTTACACAGAGAGCCCACATAACCCACTCTACATCCTGGTGCGGTTTGGAAGAATTTGACAATGGATGATGGGACTTGCAGTCACTTCACTCACTTCCTGAGACCACTGAGACCCTTGCCAATGACTGATCAAGACCAAACTTGGCACACAGAGTCCCCATGACCCACTCTACATCCTGGTGTACTTTCGAGGAGGACAGACCATGGATGATAGGACTTCAAGTACCTCCACTCTCTTCCCAAGACTGCTGCAACCCTCATCTAATGTCCGAACAAAACCAAACTTGGCACACAGAGCCCCCATGACCCACTCTACATCCTACTGCGGTTTGGAGTAGGGCATACCATGGATGATGGGACTTGAAGTACCCCTACTCGCTTTCCGAGACTGCTGCGACCCTCAACAATGACTGAACAACACCAAACTTGGCACATAGACCTCTCATGACCCACTTTACGCCATGGTGTGGTTTGACTGTGGATCGACCGCTGTTACCTCAACAATGACTGAACAACACCAAACTTGGCACATAGACCTCTCATGACCCACTTTACGCCATGGTGTGGTTTGACTGTGGATCGAGCATGGATTATGGGACTTGCAGTATCTTCGCTCAATTCCTGAGACCACTGCAAGCCATATAAATAACTGATAAAGACCAACCTTGATATACAATTCCTTTCTCTAATAACCCGGGCAACGCCGGGTCCCCAAGCTAGTCAAATATAAATGCCATCCCTAATGCATATGATATATGTAGAATTCCAAAACAAAGCATCCATCCATCCACATTATGATTGCTATTGCACAACTCCTAATGCCACATCAGCGTGAAACCTTCGAGCTCAGTATAGAATCAAAGCTCTCTCTCAGCTGTCTGAACTTGTTTTTACTCAAGTTTTGTCCTGACACAGTTCAGTCGCCATCATGCGTTGGAACAGTGAGGAGCATGCTCTTGCCGTTGAGGCCTACTTTTCGAGTGGATTTGGAGCGGCCGGCCCGCTCTCCAGATTTGGCCCCTTGTGATTTTTTTTCTATGGGGTTTTTTTTAATCCCGTGTTTATGTGAACCGTCCAAGGACCCCACAAGATTTGAAGACCAACATCCAGGAAGAAATTTCCAACATAATGCCTGCTATGCTGGCAAGAGTCATGACAAACGCCAGAAATCGGTTTACTCAGTGTATAGAGAATGGAGAACGGGGGACGTCACCTACCTAATTTGATCTTCAAAACTACGTAAAACCAAACTTTAGGCATGCGCCTACATTATTAAAAAAATTATAAATTTCTGATTCATACAATGGTGAAAAGAAGCAAGGGAGCGGAGGGATGATTTATTGTTGCCTCCAATTTGAAAGGATCCAGTATTCAGGAGATTTTACCCCAGTTCCCAATTTTAAAAAGAACTAGCCGATTTATAATGGAGGTTGCCGATTAGGAACCAAATTTACCACCAAGTTAGAAGGGAGGCTGTTCAATTGCACCTCCTCCTTTATTAAGAAAGTAATAACTTAGTAGTAATTACACTGTATATACTGTAGCGTGACTGGAGATAAGAATGTAGATTTATTTGGTTACTCTTCCCTGCGTTTCTGCCACCACGTGAGGTAAGTTGTAATATTGTGAGAAATGGTACTTTGTACCCAGAATAGACGGAGCTGAGGTAATCTTCAAATAAAAGTTAACAATTTTATTAAGTACACAGCGTGTGGTTGCAAGACGTAACTTTTGTTATAGAACTTAGAACAATGCTTGGTTAGTTGAATGTTACACTCCTTCAGGTTACACAGTATCTTCCTGAGGTGAAGCACTTATTACAAAACAAAGTTTCAATACAGGGATGTCTCTCTTGTCTGATCCTCCCTTGATCAGATACTTAATAAGATTATTCCTTAGGCTTTCCTTAGACTAAAAGAATACTGGCTATGTTTTCCTTATCAGCCTCTCTAGCCTAAGAAACTTCCAGTAGCTTAATCTGGCTTTCCAAAGCCTCGAAACCTTGCTTCCCAATTCACTCTCTTTCAGCTACAACCTCCTAATCCTTTCTTCTACCAACTCCTCACCCTCAACTCTTAACTCCTCACTGCTCACTCCTCTAAACCTAAACTCTAACTGATTTTTAACTGTCGTTTTTTCAAACTCTCCCCTCTAAGCTCCTCCCACTTCTCTCTCTCCTGCATCGGTCTCCATGGCAACGCACATGGAGGACTCCTCTGACTTAGGCCGCTCCAGCATTACTGCAGCCAATCTAAACACAAATACAGTTAAAATCATACAATTTATAATCAACTCCTGTACAAATGGGTTTTATTAAGTTTTGAAAAAAGGAAGTTATGCTGCCTCACCCTATATTTCCCATTTTCTGTGGCCTTTTTTTCACCCACAAGCAACCATTACTTGTGCAGCTTCTGTCATGTATTTTGTCATTTCAGTCCATTCTTTATTCCCAAGTTTTGTCCTTCACAGTCCCACCACATATGTGCAAAGGTTCCTATTTCTCCCACATTTCTGCCAGCGTAGTTTCAGTGTACTTTTTGCAATATGGGCTAGCTGGTGTTGTGGGGTTCGATCCCTTTTTGTCAACAATTTCTGTTGTGTTTCTTTAATCCTAAAGTGTTTAATTTTTTAATTTGGGTTTATCTGGTCTTTGATATATTTTCTCTTTTTGGAGGGTTTGCCTTTTGAAATGTAACGTCCCCTTTGCTCCCTCTTACGATATCCATGGCTGGACTGGCCGTCTGACTGCTTTCTTTTCTCCTGGAATTGCAGGCGAGCTCCAAAGACACGGGGCAGCTCTACGCGGCCTTGCACCACCGGATCCTGGCCTTGCGCAGTCGCGTTGAACAAGAACAGCAGGAAGCCAAGAGTGCTGCGCCGGAGCCAGAAGTCAGCCAGTCGAACGAGGAGGACAGCGACGACGATGACGATGAGGACGACAACGGGCTCGTGCCCTCTGGCTCCCCTGGGCGCGGTGAGCGGGTTCAGCCCTGCACTGCTGGGCTCCATCACTTTAATAGAATTGTTGATGCTGGGTGTCCATTTAATACAATATTTGGGGCTTGATGACCATACGTTGGAAGGGCTTTGATTGTGCCCTTCCTGCCTTGGCTGAAGGGGGTTGGACTGGATGGCCTTTGGGGGTCTCTTTCAACTTGAGGACTCTCAAGTTGGAAGAGACCAAGGCAGGGAGGACACAATCAAAGCCCTCCCAACAGGTGGCCATCCAGCCCCAAAGACATTACTGGCTCAATTATTAATATTATTGAGTGAAAGGGCAGCCATGATAGTGGCACTATTGACAGCCACTATAATGATTTTAATAATGAATTAATTCTGGGAGGCAGGAAGGATGCAATCAGAGCCTTCCCGTCAGATGGCCATCCAGCCCCAAAGACATTACTGGCTTCATTATTATTATTAAGTGAAAGGGCAGCCATGAAAGCAGCCCTATCAACACCCGGGTAAATAATGATGATTATAATATGAAATAATAATAATAATAAATAAATAACAACAAATAATTAATAATAAATAGTATTAAATATTAATAATAATGAATAATAATGGGAAAGGAAGGGATGAAAATGAGTGCAGTCGCCCTACCAATACCCAGGTAAAGCAAGATGATAATTATGATAAATTAAATTAAAACTTGTGCGCCAGCTGCGCCCGTACCTTGGGAAGTCTGATCTGGCCACAGTGGTCCCCGCTCTTGTTACATCCCGAATAGTTTACTGCAATGCGCTTTACGTGGGGTTGCCTTTGAAGATTGTTCAGAAACTCCAACTAGTCCAACGGGCGGCAGCCAGATTACTCACCAGAGCATCATACAGGGAGCATACCACCCCCCTGCTGTGCCAGCTCCACTGGCTGCTGATCCAGTTCCGAGCACATTTCAAAGTGCTGGTCTTAACTACACTTGGTGGACCATTATGCACGTGTGGACCATAATGACGGATCCGAATGTATCTCCTTCTATGTCCCGCCTAGGAATTTAAGATCTTCTGGAGGGGCCCTGCTCTCGACCCCGCCCTTGTCACAAACGAGACTGGCGGGGACGAGGGACAGGGCCTTCTCGGTGTTGGCCCCCTGCCTGTGGAACTCACTCCCCGGGGAAATTAGATCATTGTCATCCCTCCTCTCTTTTAGAAGGAATTTAAAAACATGGATATGGGACCAGGCCTTTGGGTAATCTGGCAGATTGACAAGGGAAATGACGACAATGAGCTTTGGAAACGGACTATGATAATGCTGAATGACTCACTAATTACGGAACTCGGCGAAACGATGGCCACTAAGCTGACTTTTTCTATGAGATTTTATTGTAATAATTTAATGTATTAACTATTTATAATTACTGTGGTATGTATTTTATTGTGTTTAAATGTAGGCATCGAATATGTGCCGGCTGGAAGCCGCCCTGAGTCCCCCCTAGGGGGTTGAGAAGGGCGGGGTAGAGATGCTCGAAATAAATAAATAAATACATACATACATAATAATTTTATTTCTTACTCAACTTTCCTCATGGCTCAAGGTGGGTCACAGCACTATCAAAACAAATACTATAAAAATTCTACAAACATACAAATTAATATTTATTATTATTACTAATAATAATAATAATTGATGCATTACCTGTCCTTTCAGCTCCAGACGGGGTACAACCTTGTTAAATACATCTATAGCATCACATATTAAAATATTTATTTTATTTATTTATTTCGGTTTCTTCTACCCCGCCCTTCTCACCCCGGGGGGGACTCAGGGCGGCTTACAAAAGCAAGACACAATTCAATGCCCGCATCACATAACAGCAAAAGACAATAACATCAGTTAACAAATAGCAATTCTATCAATAACAACAATTAACATAAAAACAATAATTATTATAGGCAAAAACAACCATAAAACCAATAAAAGCAATACAAACCCGATACAAACCTCCTTGACGGTCAGCGTTTCACAATCTCATAGTTTAAATTCGAATTCCACAGTTGTCAGTCCTTTCAGTCCTATCCATCTGGTTTCCATATCTAATTGTCAGGTTGCCCAAAGGCCTGGTCCCACAACCACGTCTTTACCTTCCTCCTGAAGGCGAGGAGGGATGTTGATGCCCTGATTTCCCCCGGGAGTGAGTTCCACAAGTGAGGGGCCACCACCGAGAAGGCCCTGCTTCTTGTCCCCACCAGCCTCGCTTGTGATAGCGGTGGGGTCGAGAGCAGGGCCTCCCCGGATGATCTCAGCTTCCAGGGTGGGACGTAGAGGGAGATACGTTCGGACAGATACACTGAACCGGAACCGTAAAGGGTTTTGTAGGTCAAAACCAGCACCTTGAATTGTGCTATAGTGTAAAGGCAGCCCTGAGAGCATATTATTATTATATGCAGATGCCTCACCAAACTACAGATCCCAGGATTGCATAGCATTGAGCACCACATGCTCGTGTAGCAGCTGCCCCTTTTGCTTTGCTCAGCACTGAGATGATCATAATGTTATGGTGGGTTTTTAGGAAACATGCCAGGCCTTCCTCCGAAGTGGAAAAAATACAGGTTTATTCAGTCGGGACCTGGGGCGGATCATTCCAACTCAAATTCCCAAAGACCCTGTACAGTCTTTGAACAAAGCATTTATACTGTTGGCATACATTCAAAGCATTCCAAGGCAGTCTATATCTTAATGGTACAGAAAAATCAGCCGAGGTGACGCATACAAAACAATGATTTTTCTCTTAAGCAGGCAAAAAATAATACCATTCATTTCCTGATCACATGGTCCCCCCCCTAATGTCTCAAACAGCATTATACAGGTGAAAATGCCAGTATGATCTTTCTGACCCTTTCATTCCCCCCTTTTGATGCTCCAACTTGTGCAGGAGGAAGCATCACAATTGTTTGGTAAACATTGCAAATAACAAGTATTTTATTTTGTGTGCAATTTGTAGATCTGGCATCTTTCTTAGTTTATCTTGTCTTGTTGTGGAGATGTTTTTAGTTAATAGCGTTGACTTGTCCCTATTTATTTTAAAGTCTGATACCGCGCCAAATTCTTCTACTTTCTGTAGCCATTGTTCTATATTATTTAGTGGGTCTTCTATTATGTGGTGAGACATATTTCATACTGGGCATACGTACTCGGCAGCAGAGTAGCCAAGCACAAGGGCAGATGTCTTCACTGTGTCTGGTTGTGATCCCCAGATTGTGCCAGTCAGCTTTCATATGATATTATTTCTAGGACCCATTTTTTGCTTAATATTTGTTTGTTTGTTTGTTTGTTTCCAATATTTCTATCCCACCCTTCTCAACCCGTGAGGGTGGTAGACGCAGGGCGGCTTACAAACCGGCCACAATTTGAAGCCTCAATATAATACAAAAATACATATGATAGTCAAGCAGTGCTTCTCGTAAGTCAGAGCACGGTACAGAGTGACTCCCAGGTATTTTGATGTGCTGCAATGCTCCAGTGGGATTCCTTCCCAGATAATCCTCAGAGCTCGGGATGCTTGTCTGTTCTTAAGATGGAAAGCACATGTCTGCATTTTAGATGGATTAGGGATCCACTGGTTTTCTCTGTAATGGGCAGGAAGAGCGCCTGGGAGAGCTTCAGTTCAACCATTTCAAAGCTCCCCCTTCTCTATCTCTCCCCGCAGGTCCTGTTGACGAAGCCGAGGGCCAGACCCCCAGCAGCACATAGCGGCCGTGCACCGGGATCTGAGGGGAGGGGGGGTGTAAGAAGATGGCCGCCATCACGAACCCCTTCCTCCTGACTGACTCTTGCCCTCGGACGGCGACGACGAGACGCTCAGAGATTTAAGGACTCTGCTTCTGGTTGTTTTGTTTTTTTGTTTTCCTCCTTCCTCCCCTTTTCTAACCCCTCCCTCCCTGCTCCCCCTTTTTTTGGCGTGTTGGACTCTTGGGGGAGGGAGTGGGGAAAGGGGGCGAGGCGGGACTTCCAACCGGTCCGTATTAAAAAAAACCACAAAGCAAAAACAACCGCAGACTTCTGGACAATATAAAGACAAAAACTGGCTGGAACTTGGGGCCTGGACACTTTGAAACCGACATGCTCATCATATTGATGAGCCGAGGGGAGGGGGAGATGCCGTTTTCTTGCCTCCCTTCCACATATTGCATAAACACACCCCGTCGATGGTGGGCAGAGGAAGGCCTGTGTTCGCTTTTCGGATCCCCGAAACTTTCCCTGGACCCTCATTCAAATTCCCATTGGAAGACTCCGGTCCCCACTCTCCTCGAGCCTCATCTTTTCCTATCTTTCAAACACAAACCACAACTCCCGTTCTTTTCTTCGGGGAATATGAAAGACTTGAAATCCATGACCACCTTGCTTAACAACTCCTTCCTCTTTATTTTTTTGGGTTACTTTATTATTATTATTATTTCTTTGGTTGTTGTTTCTTGTCGTTCCTTGTTCTGGTTTGTAAACAAACGCTTCTTCCCTTTGTAAACAAACAAGCAAGACTTCGACAAAATTCAAACCCGTCGTTTGGAAAGGACTTATTCCCTCTTTTGTACCGTCGGGAGAGCGAAGCCCTTATGTGTATGTATATATATGTGTGTGTGTTGTGTATATATGGCCATATATTATATATAGACACACACATATACTTATGTACATATATATATATATGTATGTATAACAGATGTTAACGTGCTTTGTTTTCACCTTGCCCGGCTGCTGGAGTGAGGCTTGAGTACGGCGAGGCGGGTGCTTCGTTGAGGCATTGGGGGGAGGGGGGGGAGAATTTGTCACCTTGACAAGATGGAAACACAACATTTTTGGGGGATTTTAAGTATTTTTATATAAATCCAATCTCTTCTAAACGGCTGTGAAGGAGCCGTATTCCAGATCCGCATTTCGTAAGGTTTTCAGTTCGTGTGGTGCATTTGAAGGGAGGGACGTAGATGGCCGTCCCATCGTCCCCAACCTATCACAGTGACTCGTTGGAAACCGGTGGGGTTTTATACCACAGATATAAAGGACGTAGGTTCGCTTTGAAGCCTTGCAAGAAAGGTTGGGGATGGCCGGGAATGGCATTCCCAATGGGATTCAGGTGTGGTTGGGTTGCAATTTCCAGTATCCCCAACCTTGTCTGTTTTGATATTGATACTAATGTCTGCAAGGCACTCTAACTGCTGGGAGATAGTTTGGGGAAGTCGTAATGTACCTTTTTATAATACGAGGCTGTTTGGGAGGACTTTTTGTTGTTACTTTGGGAAGGGTTCCTTTAGGGCCCAAAACTAGATGGCTTCTCTGCAGGGATCTTCACATTCTTCCAACGAAACGTTATTCCTTCCAAAGTTTGTTTGGCCTCGGAATGGCAACAAAAAAGACATTTCGGCGTTTTACTCTCTCTGGGCCTCATGTCGTCGGATCCTCGGATTTTTTTCCCCAGAATACTTGGAGGAAAAAAGAAGACTTTCGTTTCCCGCAAGATGTCGGAGGGATGAAAGGAAAAAAAAAAACAAGACAAAAGCCTGTGTGTTTGGAAGGTTTCTGTACAATTGTCATATCAGATGTATTTGGGAATTACATTAAAAAAAATAAGAACTTGTAACAAAAACTCCGGTTGGCTTTTGGGTATCGTCGCCAGTTGTTTCCTCATTGCCGATAGCAGGAAAACTATGGATTGATATCAGTTGAGATTTGGGAGTGTTGACGTTTGGGGGAGGCATCGGTATGGAAACCACAGGGAGGGGATGCTGGGCAACGTATCACTAGGATCTAAACACATTGGGTCTTTTCCAGGAGGCAAGTTCGTCGAGGAGGATGGAAATACAGTTGTCATTCTGTGGATGATGGAGCAAAAAATCCTCAGATCGAGCCGAATAAAAAGATTTCAAGAAAGGAATTTGCGGATTTATGTGACTGACGTTCAGGGTCAGAGCGGCTTCATGAAGGAATGGATTATTTTGGGAAGGCGGGGAGGGAAGTTCCAATGAGTTGGCATTGGAGTGGTGGGACTAAGCCCCCAGGGACCCCCATGGGCTGAGTTTCAAATAATGCATTAGAGGGATGAGACTAGACACCCTCAAGGGACCCTCCTTGGGGTTGAGTTCCAGCTAATGCTTTGCAATTGGGAGGGTGGAACTAGATGCCCTCCAGGGACCCCTGGGGGCTCAGTTCCAAATAATGCATTGGAGGGGTGTGACTAGATGCCCTCCAGGGGCCCTAATTGGGGTTGAGTACCAGCTAATGCTTTGCAATGGGAGGTGGGACTAGATGTCCTCAAGGGACCCTTTTTGGGCTCCATTCCAGATAATGAATTGGATGGATGGACTAGATGCCCTTAAGGGGCCCTCTTTAGGGCTCAGTTCCAGATAATGCATTGGAAGGCTGGACTAGCTGCCCTTGAGGGACCCCTCTTTAGGGCCGGGTTCCATCTAATGCTTTGTAATTGGAGGGATGGGACTAGATAACCTCCAGGGAGACTCTTTGGGGCTCCGTTCCAAATAATATATTAGAAGGGTGGCCTAAATGCCTTTGGGGGACCCTCTTTAAGGCTCAGCTCTATATAATGCATTGGAGGGGTGGACTAGATGCCCTCAAAGGAGCCTCTTTGGAGCTCCATTCCAAACAATACATTGTAGGGGTGGCCTAAATGCCTTTGAGGGACCCTCTTTAGGGCTCAGTTCTATATAATGCATTGGAGGGGTGGAATAGATGCCCTCAAAGGAATCTCTTTGGGCCTCCATTCCAGATAATGAATTGGATGGGTGGGCTAGATGCCCTCAAGGGACCCTGTTGGGGCTCCATTCCAGTTAATGAATTGAATGAATGGGCTAGATGCCCTCAAGGGACCCTTTTGGGGCTCCATTCCAGTTAATGAATTGGATGGGTGGGCTAGATGCCCTCAAGGGACCCTTTTGGGGCTCCATTCCAGATAATGAATTGGATGGGTGGGCTAGATTCCCTCAAGGGACCCTTTTGGGGCTCCATTCCAGTTAATGAATTGGATGGGTGGGCTAGATGCCCTCAAGGGACCCTTTTGGGGCTCCATTCCAATTAATGAATTGGATGGGTGGACTAGATGCCCTCAAGGGACCCCTCTTTGGGACTCCATTCCAGGTAATGCATCTAAATTAGAAGGGTGGAACTAGATACTCTCAAGTGACCCCTCTTTGGGGCTGAGTTCAAGATTACGGACCTTAAAAGGTCATCTAGTCCACCCCAACCCCACTCAGTATAGGATCACCCACTAGTTTGGACAAGAAATCAAACCAATGACTAAAGTTTAGCGTGCTTTATTTAGGTATAATAGAAAAATGGGAGCAAGCCTGACCGTAAGCAAGTGAAAACGCAGCCCAAGAGGCAATCCATGCTAAGCTAACTTGTTCTACTTTCAGGGATGCAGCGGCCTGAGTGTCCACACTACAATTTCCAAGCCACCTTCATCATCTCCACGAAGTAGTTGTCGCTGTCAATGGAGGCGCTGACGCCGCTGTAGTAGTTGAGGAACTCTTCGGCCGTGATCTGAAAGCATGACAGGTATTACACATCTTGCTTGTCAAGGTTATGAACACGCAACAGATAGATGGGGTTAATGACCTCTGACCCGGGAATTGTAGTTCACCCTTATCCAGAGAGCACTGAACCCAGCCAATGTCAGATCTGGACCAAACCTAGCACATAGACCCGACATGGAGAACTTTGAATACTGGTGGGGTTTGGAGTGATTGGCCCACGATTTTGGGAATTGCAGTTCACCAACATCCTTATATATTTTCTAATGGGAGCATTCATAAAAAAAAACAACAGGAAATACTTTTTTTTCCTAAGAAATATTGCTACCAATTACCAAACTGATATTACCTAACACCCCAAAACAAACTTCCCAAAACAACAATGTCTTTCTCTAGTAACCCGGGCATCGCTGGGTCCCCAAGCTAGTAAATAATAAAAGGTAATAATAATAATAATGCCAGATAACTGTTGTTTCTGGTTGCTAAAGTAAAAACAGGGAAGGAAAGGAAAGAGGAAAGGTATGGGGGGAAAGGGAAGAAAGAAGGGAAGGAAGGGAAGAAAGGAAAGTAAGAGGGAAGGAAAGAGAAAAGGTATGAGGAAAAGGAAGGGAAGGAAGAAAGGAAAAGAAGAGAAAGGAAGTAAAAAAGAGACAAAGGAAAGAGGAAAAGGTATGGGGAAAGGAAGAAAGGAAAAGAAGGGAAGGAAAGTAAAAAGGGAAAGAAAGGGGAAAGGTATGGGGAAAAGAAGGGAAGGAAAAGGTATAGGGAAAAGGAAAGGAAGGGAAGTAAAAACGAAAGGAAAAGAAGGGAAGGAAAAAGAAAAGGAAAGAGAAAGAAAGATAAGGAAGGGAATGAAAAAAGAAAAGGAAAGTGAAAAAGGTATAGGAAAAAGGAAAGTCGTAAGGAACTTAAGAAAGGTAAAGAAGTGAAGGAAAGAAAGAAAAATAAGGAAAGGGTATGGGGAAAAGAAAAAAAAGATAAGGGAAGAAATGAAAGAAGGGGAAAAGGAAAAGAATGAGGGAAAAGTAAGGGGAAAGGAAAGAAAGGGAAGGAGGGGAAGGAAGAAAGAGGAAGGAAAGGAAAGAGGGAAAGGTATGGGGAAAGGAAAGACAGATAAGGAAAGGAAAGAAAGAGGAAAAGAAGGAAAGGAAAGAGGAAAAGGTATGGGGGAGAAGGAAAGAACGATAAGGGAAAGAAAAAGAAGGAAAGGAAATGGGGGGAGGTATACGGAAAAGTAAAGAAAGATAACGAAGGGAAGAAAGAGAAAAAGAAGGGGAGGAAATTAAAAAGATAAGTTATGAGGAAAAGGAAAGAAATAAGGAAGGGAGGAAAGGAAGCTGAAAAGAAGGGAAGGAAAGTAAAAAGGATAGGAAAGAGAAAAAGACAAGGGGGGAGAAGAAATAAGGAAGGAAGGGAAGAAAGGAAAAGAAGGGAAGGAAAGTAAAAAGGATAGGAAAAAGAAAAAGACAAGGGGGAGAAGAAATAAGGAAGGAAGGGAAGAAAGGAAAAGAAGGGAAGTGAAGTAAAAAGGATAGAAAAGAGGAAAAGACAAGAGGGGAGAAGAAATAAAGAGGAAGGAAAGAAAGGAAAAGAAGAGCAGGAAAAAAGAAAAGGTATGGGAAAAGGAAAGAAAGAAATAAGGAAAGGGAAAGGTATAGGAAAAAGGATGGGAAGAAAGAGAAAAAGAAGGGAAGGGAAGCAAAAAGGGATGAAAGGGGGAGAGAGATATGGGAGAAAGGAAAGAGGAGGAAGGGAACAAAGAGGAAAAGAAGGGAAGGGAAGTAAAAAGGTGTTGGAAAGGAAAGAGGAAATGGTATGGGAAAAAGGTATAAAGGAAGGGAAAGAGAAAGAACGAAGAAAAGCAGGGGTTATAGACACTACCTTTTAAATATAAGAAAAGCACGGAGATTCTAAGACGCACCCCATTTTTATAAGGGTGTGCATTAGAATGGAAGAAATATGGTCAGAATATGAGTGTTTTGAGTGCATGCATGGTCACCCGCCTACCTTCCCGTCCTTGTCATCGGGGGAGTCGAAGCTGTCCAGAAAGGCCCGGAAGACCTGGTCCTGGCTCCACTCCCCACTCCGGAACTTGGGGTGCTGGCGCCCATCGTAAACACCCCGCAGGTCCTCCACCGTCACCACCCCGTCACCTGTCCGATCCAGCTTGCGGAAGGCCGCCCCGATGGCCTCCGTCCTGGCCTTGGACATGGGGGGCTGCAGAAAGGCAAGGCGGGGCCTGAGCCTTGGAGGAAGGGAACCCCAAAGGGCATCCAATCCAACCTTATGGACATTAGCAGGTTCTTTTAGAACAGGGGTCCTCAAACTTTTTAAACAGAGGGCCAGGTCACAGTCTCTCAAACTGTTGGAGGGCCGGATTATAATTTGAAAAAAAAAATGAATGAATTCCTATGCACTCTGCACATATCTTATTTGTAGTGCAAAACACTTAAAAACAATACAATAATTAAAAATGAAGAACAATTTTAATGAATATAAACTTATTAGTATTTCAATGGGAAGTGTGGGCCTGCTCTTGACTGATGAGATAGGATTGTTGTTGTTGTTGTTGTGTGCTTTCAAGTCATTTCAGACTTAAGTTGACCCTGAGCGAGAGCCGGGCAAATGACCTTGGAGGGCCATATCCAGCCCCCGGGCCTTAGGTTGAGGACCCCTGTTTTAGAAAGTAAGGCTATCGAATCGTAGAATCCTAGAGTTAGAAAAGGTCTCCAAAGGCCCCCTTCTGCCAAGCAAGAGGCCACCAATGAATTCCTCCTGACAGATGGACGTCCAGCCTCTGTTTGAAAACCTCCAAAGGAGACTCCACCAAACTCTCAGGCAGCTTAAAGCCCTTCCTCGCGTTCTTCCCTAGCCTTGCACCCTCTGAGCCTTGGAAACCCCTTCTCTTCTGATTGAAACGAATGAACGGCGGTTCCAGATCATGCATCAGCATTGGAAGGGTGGGACTATATGTCCTTGAGGGACCCTTTTTGGGGCTCAGTTCCAGATCATACATCTACATTAGAGGGGTGGGACTAGATGCCCTTGAAGATCCCTCTTTTAGGTTCAGATCCAGATAATGCATTGGCATTGGAGGGGTGGATTAGATGTTCTTGAGGGACCTATCTGGGGCTCAGTTGCAAATCATGCATTTACATTAGAAGGATGGGACTAGATGCCCTCAAGGGAGGCTCTTTGAGGCTCAGTTTCAGTTCATGCATCTACAGTACAGGGGTGGGGCTAGATGTCCTTGAAGGTCCCTCTTTTGGGCTCAGTTCCAGATAATGCATTGGCATTGGAGGGGTGGATTAGATGTTCTTGAGGGACCCCTCTTTGGGGCTCAGTTGCAAATCATGCATTTACATTAGAGGGGTGGGACTAGATGCCCTCAAGGGAGGCTCTTTGAGGCTCAGTTCCAGTTCATGCATCTACATTACAGGGGTGGGGCTAGATGTCCTTGAAGGTCCCTCTTTGGTACTCAGTTCCAGATCATTCATCTGTATTAGAGAGGTGGGACTGGATGCTCTCAAGAGACTCCTACTTGGGGCTCAGTCCATTGGGTGGGTGGACTAGATGCACATTGGGTGGGTGGACTAGATGCCCTTGAGGGACCCTCTTTGGAGCTCAATTCCAGATCATGCATCTACATTAGAGCGGTGGGACTAGATGCCCTTGAGTGACCCCTCTTTGTGGCTCAGTTCCAGATAATGCAGTGGCATTGAAGGGTTGGGACTAGATGCCCTCGAAGGACCCTCTTTGGAGCTCAGTTCCAGATAGCGGACTGGCATTGGAAGGGTGGGACTAGATGCCCTCGAGCAACCCTCTTTGGAGCTCAGTTCTAGATCAATCCTCATTCCAGGGGCCTTCAAAGGACATCTACTCCACTCCCAACCCTACTCAATATAGGCTCTCCTGCTAAGGCTTTGCCATGTTCTTCCCTAGCCTTGCATCCTCTGGGTCTTCAAAGACCATTCAGTTTCGATGTAAACGAATGCACTCATGCACGGTGTTCCCCGTCCTCACCCGTAGGGCTTGCAGGAACTCCTCGAAGTCGAGGGTCCCATTCTTGTTTTTGTCACAGAGGTGGAAAACCTCCTCGGCTTCTCCCTCGTCCAAGGCCACTCCAGCTTCGTTCAGGCCTTTCCGGAATTCCTCCAAGTCCAGCGAACGACTCCCGTTGTCGTCCAGGATGCGGAAAAACCTGCAGAGGCCGAGAGAGGTAAACAAAGTTATCATTATTGCACCTATTCTTTACCTCTATTACTCTTTACATGCATTAAACTGAATTTCTGGAATTGAGTTTTTGCACTTAGTAATTTTTCTTGTATTTCTTTTTGTTTTCCTTCATTTTTTTGTTATTTTTCTCCCCTGACTCTCTTGTCTGTCTTTAAATTCTGAGATGGATGAGGAGATTTTCTTCTTCCTTACTTCTGTTTGACTTGTTCCGATCCTTTCTTCCAACCTTCCATTTTTTTCATTCATTTTAATGATTTCTACTGTTAGAATCTTTAGTTGATCTAGCATTGTTTTGTAAATATCTCTAGTCTCATCCATGTGAGGTTTGGACTGCTTTGAGCGAGTCACCATCTTTGACATTGCCCTACTGTAGTTACAAATATGCAGTTTGTGTTTTTATTTTAGAGACGAGGAGAAACTGGATTTATTTATGTATTTATTTATTTATTTGCCGTGTCAGAGCAGCCAGTCCATTATATTACATTTCTAACAGAACAAAGCAAACAAACAGACAAATACAAAACTTGTGAGTTTGGTAGTTGATTAAATGTCCTTTGACCATTATCTGGCCACTTGGAGTGCTTTGGTGTTGCTGCAAGAAGGTCCTCCATGGTGCATGTGGAAGGGCTCAGGTTGCATTGCAGCAGGTGGTCAATGGTTTGCTCTTCTCCACACTCACTTGTCGTGGATTCCACTTTTAGCCCCATTTCTGAAGGTTGGCTCTGCATCTCATGGTGCCAGAGCGCAGTCTGTTCAGCGTCTTCCAAGTTGCCCAGTCTTCTGTGTGCCCAGGGGGGAGTCTCTCATTTGGTATCAGCCATTGGTGGAGGTTCTGGGTTTGAGCCTGCCACTTTTGGACTCTCACTTGCTGAGGTGTTCCAGCGAGTGTCTCTGTAGATCTTAGAAAACTATTTCTTGATTTAAGTCGTTGACGTTGCTGGCTGATACCCAAACAGGGGATGAGCTGGAGATGTCTCTGCCTTGGTCCTTTCACTATTGGCTGCTACTTCCCGGCGGATGTCAGGTGGTGCAATACCGGCTAAGCAGTGTACTTTCTCCAGTGGTGTAGGGCGCAGACACCCCGTGATAATGCGGCATGTCTCATTAAGAGCCACATCCACTGTTTTAGTGTGGTGAGATGTGTTCCACACTGGGCATGCATACTCAGCAGCAGAGTAGCACAGCACAAGGGGAGATGTCTTCACTGTATCTGGTTGTGATCCCCAGGTTGTGCCAGTCAGCTTTCATATAATATTGTTTCTAGCACCCACTTTTTGCTTGATGTTCAGGCAGTGCTTCTTGTAGGTAAGAGCACGGTCCAGAGTGACTTCCAGGTATTTGGGTGTGCTGCAATGCTCCAGTGGGATTCCTTCCCAACAGAAGCGACCAGCATGCAAACAGTGTCTGTTTAGCCCGCAGAAGAGAAGGCTGAGAGGAGACATGATAGCTGTGTATCAATATGTGAAAGGATGTCCTAAGGAAGAGGGAGCAGGCTTGTTCGGACTCAAATGAACCATGAATTCAAATGACACTAAAGGAGATTCCAGTGAACTTCCTGACTGTAAGAAGAGCCGTTCAACAGTGGAACTCTTTTAGTGTGGTGGAAGCTCCTTCCTTGGAAGCTTTTAAACAAAGGGTTGATGGCCATCTGTCGGGGGTGCTTTGATTGTGCTTTTCCTGCATGACAGCGGGTTGGACTAGATGGCCCATGTGGTTTCTTCCAACTCTATTATTCTATGATTCTATGAATTAAGCCCCCCAAATTTCCCTTCACTCCCCCAAAAAAACTTACCTGGCCAGGCCTTTGATACCTGAGGCACCTCTTTGTAAGCATTTGCCCCTCAGCTTTGCCATGGCTTCCATTGTGGCACTCCGTTTGACCTTTTCTTCCTATTCGATTCTTAAGCACAGACCTCCGTAATCGAGCTTCCGATCTCTTTCTTCTGTCCTTTTTCGTCCTTACCTGCTTTTTCCTCTTGGCGTTGTTTTGTTTGTTTACTTGTCGTCTCCATAGTGATCCTCCTCAACGGAAAAGAGACTCATTTGCAAAGTGCCTCTAATAATCCCCAGGCAGGATTTAATGAATCCCAGAGTTCGGATATAATGCCCTGTTTATCAAAACAGTCCGGGGTGAAAAGAGCACAGAAAATGGGAACAAATACTTAGCAGATTATACGCTGCAGGATTATATTGTGACTTAATTGGTTTTGAACTATGTAGCATTTTAATGGTTTTTGTAGTATTTTAAGTGTGTGTTTCACATTGTATTTATTAATATACTAGCTTGGGGACCCGGCACTGCCCGGGTTATTTGAGAAAGGAATTGTGTATTAAGGTTGGTCTTTATCAGTTATTTATATGGCTCGCAGTGGTCTCAGGAAGTTAGTGAAGGTACTGCAAGTCCCATCATCTGTGGTCCATCCTCCTCCAAATTGCACCAGGATGGAGAGTGGGTCATGGGGGCTCTGTGTGCCAAGTTTTGTTCTTGATCAATCATTGGATGAGGGTCACAGTGGTCTCAGAAAGTGAGTTTAGGTACTGCAAGTCCCATCATCCATAGTCTGTTCTCCCTCAAACCTCACCAGAATGTTGAATTGGCCAAGGGGGCTCGCTGTGCCAAGTTTGGTCTTTCTTGGTATTTGGATAAGTGTTGCTGTGGTTTCAGGAAGTGAGTGAAGGTACTGAAGTCCCATCATCCATCGTCCATCCTCCTCCAAACAGCATGGATGTAGAGTGGGTCATGGGGGCTCTGTGTGCCAAGTTTGGTCTTGATCGGACATTAGATGAGGGTTGCAGCAGTCTTGGGAAGGGAGTGGAGGTACTTGAAGTCCCATCATCCATGGTCTGTCCTCCTCGAAAGTGCACCAGGATGTAGAGTGGGTCATGGGGGCTCTGTGTGCCAAGTTTGGTCTTGATCAGTCTTTGGCGAGGGTCTCAGTGGTCTCGGGAAGTGAATGAAGTGACTGCAAGTCCCATCATCCATTGTCAAATTCTTCCAAACCGCACCAGGATGTAGAGTGGGTCATGCGAGCTCTCTGTGTAAATTGTGGTCCTGGTCCATCATTGTTGGCAGTTGTAATGGTCCTAGGAAGGGAGTGCAGGTATTGCAAGTCTCATCGTCCATGGTGCATCCTCCTCCAAGCTGCACCAGGATGTAGAGTGGTCATGGAGACTCAGTGTGGCAAGTTTGGTCTTTATTGGTAATTGGATGAGGGTTGCAGCGGTCTCAAGAATTGAGCAAAGGTACTGCAAGTCCCATAATCCATGGTCCATTCCCAGCCAAACCATACCAAGACGTAAAGTGGGTCATGAGAGGTCTATGTGCCAAGTTTGGTCCTGATCAGTCATTGGATGAGGTCAACAGCGGTCTCAGAATGTGAGTGATGGTACTGCAAGTCCCATCATCCATGGTTCATCCTCCTCCAAACTGCAGTAGGATGTAGAGTGGGTCATGGGGATTCTGTGTGCCAAGTTTGGTCTGTATTGGTAATTTTCCAATACAGCCCCTGGCCTTTTACTTTCCTCTCTTTGTCATCTCGGAATCTTGGAATTGAGGCTGGCCAATCAGAGACCATATGCAAATTTCCTTCTCTCATGTCTCCGTTTCTGTCATGAAACCTTTTCTCCACCAGGGGCTCCAATCAGAGACCATATGCAAATAGCACTACAGTGGCAACCAATCAGAAAGCTGGCACATACCCGGTCGTACCGCCGCATACAAACTTTGACTTTTATTATATACATACATACATAGATAATATACTAGCTGTCCCCTGCCACACGTTGCTGTGGCCCAGCCTGGTGATCTGGAAAATGAAGTAATGAGAAAGTGATGGTTTCTAATATATGTAATGTCTTTATGCTTGTGGGTAAACAGTATTTCTTGCTGTTTCTTTGCCAGTGTTGATGTGGAAACTGCCTGGTTTGCCTTCTCTGGGACATGCAACATATCATTGCCATTCTTTAGGGGTCCCTTTCAAATCTTTGATACTGCATCTGTCATATACATATGTGTGTGTGTGTCTGTGTGTGTGTGTGTGAATGGCTGGATGGCCCTTTGTCAAGAGGGCTTTTATTATGTTTTCTTGCCCAGGTAAAGGGAGTTGGACTGAATGGCCTTAAGGCAGCATTTCTCAACCTGGGAAGTCAAGACCCCGGGGGAGGGTCACCGGGGGGTGTCAGAAAGGTCACCAAAGACCACCAGAAAACACAGAATTTTCTGTTGGTCATTGGGGTTTCTGATTGGGATGTTTGACCCAATTCCATCGTTGGTAGGGTTCAGAATGCTCCTTGATTGTAGGTGAACTATAAATCCCAGTAACCACAACTCCCAAATGTCAAGGTCTATTTCCCCCAAACTCCATCTGTGTTTATATTTGGGCATATTGAGTATTCGTGCCAAGTTTGGTCCAGATCCATCATTGTTTGAGACCACAGTGCTCTCTGGATGTAGATGAACTACAACTCCCAAATTCAAGGTCAATGCCCACCAAACCCTTCCAGTATTTTCTGTTCGTCAAGGGGGTTCTGTGTGCCAAGTTTGGTTCAATTCCATCGTTGATGGAGTTCAGAATGTTCTTTGATTGTAGGTGAACTATAAATCCCAGCAACTACAACTCCCAAAGGACAAAATCATATTTTTTTGAGTGATGGTCACTCCTTGTGTAGTGAGACGTTTTGTTGCCAAATTTGGTGTGATTTTGTTCATTGGTTCTTTTGTTTTTAAGGTACTCATTACGCACAGAACATTTTTATATATATAGATTGTATATTAATATATAACATAACTTCCCTTGTTTTACATCAGAGGGGGCGTGAATCATTGTCCTAGAAACACTGAGAAAAAAGCCGTGGCTTTTGGGGAAAATAATAACCTGATCCATTTTCTTCGATTGAATATCTCATTAAGCATAACTGATAATATTTTGAGAGCTAAAGGAAGGATATTTCAAGGTTTACCCATTCATGCATACTAGTTACTGCGCCCATACCTTGGGAAGTCTGACTTGACCATGGTGGTCCATGCTCTGATTACATCTCGTATAGATTACTGCTACATGCTCTACGTGGGGTTGCATTTGAAGACTGTTAGGAAGCTCCAACTGGTCCAGCGAGCGGCAGCCAAGTTGCTCACTGGAGCGGCACTCAGGAAACATACAACTCCACTGTTGCGTCAGCTCTACTGGCTGCCAGTCTGCTACCGAGCACAATTCGAAGTTCTGGCTTTAGCCTAAAGGTAAAGGTAAAGGTAGTCCCCTGACATTAAGTCCAGTCATGTCTGACTCTGGGGTGTGGTGCTCATCTCCATTTCTAAGCCAAAGAGCCAGCGTTGTCCGCAGACACTTCCAAGGTCATGTGGCCGGCATGACTGCATGGAGCACCGTTACCTTCCCACCGGAGCGGTACCTATTGATCTACTCACATTTGCATGTTTTCGAACTGCTAGGTTGGCAGAAGCTAGGGCTGACAGCGGAAGCTCACGCCGCTTCCCGGAATCGAACCTGCGACCTTTCAATCAACAAGCTCAGCAGCTCAGTGCTTTAACCCACTGCGCCACCGGGGGCTCCTATAAAGCCTTAAACGGTTCTGGCCTAGGCTACCTGTCCGAAAGTATCTTCCCCTATGAACCAGCTTGGAGACTAAGATAATCTGAAGAGGCCCTACTCTTGGTCCCACCTGCCTCACAAGTACGGCTGGCAGGGACAAGAGACAGGGCCTTCTCAGTGGTGGCCCCTCGATTGAGGAACTCCCTCCCTAGTGACATCACATCAGCCCCCTCCCTACTAGCCTTCAGGAAGAGAGTCAAAACCTGACTCTTGGAGCAGGCTTTTGAAAATTAGGGCAATGCAGTATGCCGAATATAGAATTATGTGCAATTTGACTTTGGAATGGCCTTAGACCTTGAACTCTGGATGGTGTATTTTAACTTTGAATTTACTTTAACCATTTTATGTATTTATTTCGAACATTTTTACCCCGCCCTTCTCAACCCTTAGGGGGACTCTGGGCGGCTTCCAATTGGCAATAATTCAGTGCCGCATCAAAAAATACAAAATAGCAAATATAACAATTACAAACATAAACATTAATAAATAAAAATTAAAACAGTATACTTATGATCTATTTAGCTATTGCCAGTCTGGTGGCTATTTAGCTAGCCATATACTAATGATTACTCCGTTTAACATATCCAAATCCTCTTCCAAGCCATAGTCAAACATTATCAATTGTCCTTTAACCTGATTGCCCAAAGGCCTGGTCCCACAACCACGTTTTAACCTTTTTCCTAAAGGTGAGGAGGGATTAGGTAAAGGTAAAGGTAGTCCCATGACATTAAGTCCAGTGATGTCTGACTCTGGGGTGTGGTGCTCATCTCCATTTCTAAGCCGTAGAGCCAGCGTTGTCCGTAGACACCTCCAAGGTCATGTGGCCGGCATGAGTACATGGAGCGCATGGAGGAGGGATTACGATGACCTAATTTCCCTGGGAAGCAAATTCCACATTAAATTATGTTGTAATTTAAAACTATTTTAAGGTGAATTTGTTGTTTTGAGGCACTGTGTATGTGCCATTGTAATCCGCCTTGAGTCCCCCTGCTGGGATAGAGAAAGGCGGGGTATAAATATGGCAAATAAATAAATAAAGGAACTCTGAAAAAGGGATCACAAGACAAAGGGCCTGATTCTGGCAGCCCAAGAACAAGCCATTTGAACCAATGCTATCAAAGCCAGAATTGAAAAGTCGACGACAGATCCCAAGTGTAGACTCTGCAAGGAAGCAGATGAAACAATAGATCACATCCTCAGCTGCTGCAAGAAGATCACACAGACACACTACAAGCAGAGGCATAACACCATTGCTCAGATGATTCATTATCTGTCAGATAAGCGAGACGCTACTATATCTGTGTGCGTGTGTGTGTATATCAATGAAAAAAATGTTTCAATACTCATTACTAAATTACGAGGGTGGCAGCGAATAATTTCTAAAGTGTTTCTAAAATATCTTTAGGGGTCTGTATCGTAACTATAACGAATTTTTCATTACTTTTTTGGATAATTTCATAAGGGAGGGGAAGATTCCGGGGCTCGTTTCTCCTCCATTTTTAGAACCATCTGGATGAAACTTGCTACCATGGTAGACCACATTGGCCAATGCTAACCCTCAAAGTTTCGGAACGTTTCACCCATCCACCGATTTTTGGTAATTTTTTTTTAAAAAAACAAAACAGCATTTTAAAAAACAACAAGAGCTAGCTCCTTGAATTTCTATTTTCAATGATACAACATAACCAGGGCATACTGATTTTTAGGGAATTTTCACCAACATAAACTTAACAGTACTATTTCACTAGAAGACCCAATAGGTCCTCCAGTCAAATGTTCTTTATTCTGCAAAACAGGAAAAGCAAGTCAAAGTACCGTTAACAGATGCCCATCCAGCCTTTGAGATTTTTTTTTTGTCGTGTCAGGAGTTGCTCCTGTTGTGAGAGAATTGGCCGTCTGCAAGGACGTTGCCCAAGGGACGCCCGGATGATTTGATGTTTTTATCATCCTTGTAGGAGGCTTCTCTCATGTCCCCGCATGAGGAGCTGGAGCTGATAGAGGGAGCTCATCCGCCTCTCCCCAGATTCGAACCTGCGACCTGTCGGTCTTCAATTCTGCTGGCACAGAGCTTTAACCCACTGCGCCACCGGGGGCTCCTTTGAGATAATAATAGGAAATATATTAGGTAAACTTTGCAGTTACTGCCTCTCGACTTTGCCTATCTCACAGGATTGATTCAACTCCCAACAATCCCTTTTTATCTTGAAATTTCTTTAGAGTAAAACACCAAAACTTTCAGGGAGGAATTCTGAGAAATGTAGTTTGGGAAGGTGAGGACCCCTGTGGCGGAGAATTCAAAAGGCCCTGCCCTGAACTACATTTCCCAGAATTCTGCTCACTTCAAGATTGAGACGGAGATCTGAAGCAACTTATGAGACTTAAGTAACTGTTCTGAAAGTTATAGGTCAGTGTTTTGAATCTCAACTTTTTGGCATGGGCACCCCCGACGTTTCTAAATATTACTTCGTATGTATGAATCTTACAAAGTACACCCAACGTACAAATCACAATGTTTTACACAGCCCTAATATGTGTGTGTCTGTGTGTGTGTGTAGGGGTAAAGAGCCCCACCATAGTCAATAGGGAAAGGAATACGGTATTGATGTATTCGGTCTCGGCCTCTTGTACGCCGCACCGAGTCCTTCGGGAGATGGTAGCGGGTTATAAATAAAGTATTATTATTATTATTATTATTATTATTATTACTACTACTACTACTACTACGGCTGGAAGAGAGACCACCTGGCATATTTCATTGCCATTATTTGTTCCCTTTATTTTCTATGGCCAGTAGGTGTTCCCAAACCAAATGGAAGGAAAACATATTACAATTCAACTCAAAGGAAGGAAATCGGCCTGGATCACATAGATATGTTGCAACATTTGGGTGCAGGACTTGTATTTGAAAGTCTGTGTTATGAGGGTTTACAAAAGACAACCTATGAGATATTTTTTTTGAAAAATCAATTTATAAACAGGATAATTCAAAGGGCTGTTTTCCTCGTCTTCCCCAGAAACAGACATTTTGTTTATTTCCCTAAAAAGAATGTCAGCGTGACTTTCGACTTCCTTGAAACCACTCCTCAAAATTGGAAAAGTCATTTGGCTCTCACCCCAAAATCAATAATTATAATAATAATGACAAACACATCAAGCCTGGCAGAAAGACCCAGGTTGCGCTTTAAAACAAAGGCAGGCTTCCCAAATTATGGCTGTCCACTGCTGGTGTCAATGAGAATGAAGAGTCCAAAGGAGTGTCCCATTTGCGACTTTTTCCCGCAGTTCTGAAAGAACTACAGCTCCCATCATCCATCCTTTCTGACTGGGGAATTCTGGGAGCCGTTGTCCAAGCAAAAGCCCTGATACATCGAGGTAGTAGTCACTTTCTTGGAAATGCACCCGTATATATGGCCAATAAGCCTCGAGGGGGGATTTGTGACCGTTCGGAATGGCAAAGGAACATCGAGGGAAAGAAACAAACCTATCCCCCACCCCAAATGGGAGGCAATGCTGCAACAAAGCAGTCTGGGATTTGATGCTCCCAGTGTTATTCCCTAAAGAATGTTCTAGCAGCTTTTCCTCCTGCATCTGTGACTGGCATCTTCAGGGGACCCGACGGGATCCCATTCGTCGACTTTAAATGCAAGACACTCTCGGCACCAGGAATAAAAGGCTAAAATCTATATGGCAACAACAAATAACAAATAAGTAACTGGATTTGTGAACAAAAATAATATGAATATATGAATGCATTTTGCATTCTAAAACTCAAAAGACTGGAGATAATTGATGTGTACACATATATGAATATATATAGAGAGAATCTACGTGGATGATAGACTAGTATAAGTATTTACGTATGTATTGCTAATGTATTAACAAAAGAAATTGACTCTGAAATATGTATGTGCGCTATATATATATATATATATATATAGACATCATAAATGAAATGTATAAAATTTCAATGATGTGGATATTATATATACACACACACACACAGAATCTGCATTATATGTAATATAATAAATATGTATTACTAACGTATTAACATATTAAAAAAAGACTCTGATATGTATGTATACATATGTGTGTGTGTATACACACACACACATAGAATCTGCACAGAAGATAGACTGATATAGTAAGTATTCACATATACAATACTTTTTAAAATTTTGGCGCATACTCTGTTTAGGAATCTTAACTGATTTTTGTTTGGAGCGTATAACACTTACAATGGAAATATCATTGATATTTAGTTTTCCCCATATCATTATGGATCTAACTTACTTGTCCGATATCTTTTTCTCTAACTCAAATCATTTTGTATCCTTTATTATAATTGCCACTCTTCTTGATTTATTTCTTCCTCTCGATTCATATTGAAACTTCCAACTTTTTAGGTTCAACAATTTCATCTTATCCTTTTTTAAGTGGGTCTCCTGAATTAAACCTATATCGGCATGCTCTTCTAGTAACAGTCTATGGAGTTTATGCCTTTTAACCAGAGATCATCTACATATGCATTACTAACATTCTAACAAAAGAAACTTTGAGATGTGTGTATCAGAATCTGCATACAAGATAGACTAATACATGTATTTACATATGTATTACACTGTTCTACAAATTTTCAGTTTTTCTCAGTTGCGGAAACGAAATGTGCCGTTTCTTAATAAATTTAACATGCTGAATTCAAATATAATAATTAAATGTGTTAATTGGCTCTGGTTTTTATGCAACAGCTATTTCAATTTTCTCCACAATAGGTAATTCGTTAATATTATGATAATGCGCCTAACCTTACTGCATGTATATAAACCGTGAATATTTACTAAATTTTAGTCAAATTATATTGCCAATAGTTTATACATGAGAAATATTTATTTAATTAGTCTATTGTTTATGTTTGTGCAGCAAGAAACTATATTAGTAGGCCTAATGCAGTTGAAAAGTCTGAAAGTTTAAATGTCGCTTTAATCGTGACTTTAGTTAATATCCTGTTTGCTTCTCTTGACTTTTCTTTTGTATTCAAGGAAAGGATTGTCTCTTACAATGCTCCAGCAGTAGTCTGACAGCATTGACGGAGTCCATTTGCCTTGATATCTTTTTTCCATAGTGCTTTATTTACACACGTGCGAGGCATAACTACAGTAAAAAGAACAATGTAAAACGATGTTTAACGATACTGTCTCAGTCTTCAACTGACTGACCCTCACCGTTCAAAAGTCTGGCCTTATAGAGGGCTTTCTGGCTTTTGCACACGGCACTAATACTGCGTCATCAAACTTTCTAGAATATTCTAGAATCTTCCATAGTGTAAGTCACAACATGCATTTTTTCAACCATACGTGATCACGTGATTGCTTATATCATAAAAAACTAGAGCCAATATACATTTTTAAATGTCATTTTCGTTTTCAGCACCCCAAAATCATAAAAGAACAGCTATTTTCAGGCCCGCAACTTTTTCTCCATTGAACAGTGTTATTAATGTATTAACAAAAGAAACTGACTCTGGGATATGTAAACGGGTGGATATTAAAATGAGAGGGAAAACAGAGTATGTATAAGTAAACTGATAAACTAATTAGAAGGAACGCTTATTATACAGGCTTGGAGGAGAAAATAGGGGGGGAAAAGATGGGACAATACAAGAAGACAGAAAGATTGACACCCGATGATAAGAATCCACTTGCTTTTGGAATAGAAGATATTGTAGATGGAATTCCTTTATATGTTAGAGAATATGTATTATAATACCATCCTTCTTCACACTCCCGTTGATACAATAGACTCCTGTGTAGATTTAATTTAGTAACAAAACTCCAACATATCATATTTTTTGCAAGATGGGGAGAACAGATCAACGGATCCTCTCAATTTGAACACTCATCTCCCACCAAACCTGGGGGACAGAGAGACCCAAGAAATGGAGGGAAAGCAAAAGATCCTCCGAAGATGCCAGTAAACACAAATGCAGGCAAAACAGAGGAAATCGGAGACATTGCTAGAGCACATTGGTTGTAGAGCCCGGTAAACCACACCAGAACACCAACTGACCTATTCCAAATTTGTCCCTGACATTTGCACTAAATTTATGCTCATTCTGCCGCTTTGAGGAAAGATCAAGACCAACATATTGTGGAATAGGCTGCTTTTCCAAAGGGATTTGGAGGGAGAAGGAATCTGGCAATAGGGGCTTCTGGAAATTAAGAGGTCCAAACAGCTGGAGGGCCGCAGGTTCAAGATGTATGTACAGGCCGCCTCCGAGTTACAAACATTTCTGTTAAGAACAACGGGGCGGACACCAAGAAGTAAAAGAAATCTACCTCTAGGAAGGGAAATCCTCTCCTGGAAGAGTTATTATTAGGGAGAAAAGTGGGTCCCCAATGAAAGTTTAGCACCCATCCTTGTTTGCACAACGGAAGCTGACAACGGACATGAGAGAAGCCTCCCACAAGGATGATAAAAACATCAAATCATCTGGGCATCCCCTGGGCAACATCCTTGCAGACAGCCAATTCTCTCACACCAGAAGTGACTTGCAGTTTCTCAAGTCGCTCCTGACACGACAGAAAACCAAAACAACGGAAGCTCCCATTAACCTTATGAAGATTAAACATATCTGCCTTCTCCACAAGGATTGTTGCCCCTTTCTTAATGCCAATCCTGACAGACAACATAAACCCTTCCCTATGCTGTCCGAAGCTTATCTATCTATATATCTCAACAGCAAAACAAACCCCACAGTGGTGTTTACCCCTACGGTCTCCAAAGCATGTGTGTGTGTATATATATGTGTGTGTGTGTATGGCTGGAGTTATACTTAAGCAATGTCCCTCTTCCGACTTACATACGAATTCAACTGAAGAACAAACCTACAAAATCTCCCTTGTCTGTAATGGGATTTCCGCTCCCTTCAAATCCCTTTTCCCCAGATGGGAGAGCAACCCCTTCCTAATATATCCACATTCCCTGTAATAGATAATACCAGGACTTGTCCTAGAAAAGTGGGGTGCGGGGCTGATGGAATGCAGGGAATATATAAAGATCTCCAGAGAAGCATTTCACACGGTTGTGCCAAACAAAGTCTGGTCGGAATCCCTGTTGTCATCGTCGTTGTCCACCGTGGTGAGAGAAAAGTCTTTCCCGCCATCGGAATCGAGGTCCGGGACGCAGTTCAAATCCAGGGCGGCGGGGAGGGGGTCGGGGGAGGTGCGACCACTGTGGACGGGACTGAGGCGTTCCCCTTCAGCCATGTAGGCCAGGAGGTTGTCCAGCACTGGGCGGCTGCGGCAGATCTTGCTCAGCAAGCGGCTGCGGTGGCGGAGCTGGGCCACAAGCAGGTCCTTCTCCTGGAGGAGACCCCACAGCCGCTGGGACTCCCCCTCCGAGACACGCAGCCTCTCCTCCAGGGCCGAGATTTCGCTAGAAGGAAGGGAGAAGAGCGTCAAAGCAGCCAGGCAAGGAAGCAAATATATATAGAGACCCCGTCATGCCCATGTGTTAGTGAAAGGATGGCTTAAATGGTCAGATAGATAGGCTGGTGGATAAAGGAGTAGACAATAGAGGAAAACACAGGTGAAGAGAGAGAGAGAGAAATATATTGGTGGATAGACAAAAGAAATGGATGGATAGGTAAATAGAGACAGGCGAAGAGATAGAGAAATGTATTGGTGAATGGATGGATGGGGAGATAAAGACAGGTGAATAGATAGAGAAGAGGAATGGATGGATGGATAAAGACACAGGTGAAGAGATAAGAGATACTGGTGGATGGATGGATACATGGATGGGGAGGGAGAGAGAAAGATAGGTGATTAGATAAAGAGAAATGTATTGGTGGATAGATGGACAGGGAGAGAAGAGAAATGTATTGGTGACTGGATGGATGGGGAGATAGATAAAGACAGGCAAATAGAGAAGAGAAATGGATGGATGGATAGATAAAAACACAGGTGAATAAAGAAATCTATATAAATAAAAATGTAATATTCATTTGTGGTATTCACAGAACTCAAAAACCCCTGGATGAATTGGCACAAAATTTGGACATGATACACCTAACAACCCAATGTATGTTCTTCACTAAAAAAAAATATGATTTTGTCATTTGGGAGTTGTAGTGGCTGGGATTTAGAGTTCACCTACAATCAAAGAGCATTCTGAACCCCACCAACAATGGAATTGAACCAAACTGGGCACACAGTTCTCCCATGACCAACAGAAAATACTGGAAGGGTTTGGTGGGCAGTGTCCTTTGGTTTTGGAGTTGTAGTTCACCTACATCCAGAGACCACTGTGGATGGATCTGGACCAAACTCTACACGAATACTCAATATGCGCCAAATGTGAACACTGGTGGAGTTAGGGGAAAATAGAATCTTGACATTTGGGAGTTTTAGTTCCTGGGATTTATACTTCACCTACAATCAAAAAGCATTCTGAACCCCACCAATGATAGAATTGGGCCAAACCTCCCACACAGAACCCCCATGAGGGCCACGGCAACGCGTGGCAGGGGACGGCTAGTACATAATAATAATAATTATATTTATTTATACCCTGCCACCATCTCCCCAGTGGGGACTCAGAGCGGCTTACATGGTGCCAAACTCAGACAACATGTTACAGCAAAATAAAACCAAAACATATACAATATACAATATATTATATTAGCATAGCACACTTATCAGTATTATGTATTGTACTATACCCTTATATTGCAATATTATTAGTAATATTACATATAATATAAAATATATAAACATTGTATTATTACTAATAGTATTATATTGTATTATATTATATTATTAGAATAGCATAATTATAATGTTGCATTATTATTAATAGTATTGTATTATATATTATTAGCATAGCACATCAGTTATATATTACTAAATTGTACTATACTCTTATATTGTAATATTATTAGTAATATTACATATAATATAAAATATATAATTGTAACATTGTATTATTATTAATAGTATATTGTATTGTATTATATTATTAGCATAGCACCGGGATTGTGGCGCAGCAGGCTGAGTTTCAGCTGCATTAAGATCACTTTGACCCAAAAGGTCATGAGTTTGAAGCCAGCCCGGGTTAGAGTGGGTTTTCAACCAATTGTGTGTAGCCTGTTGTCGACCTTTGCAACCCAAAAGACAGTTGCATCTGTCAAATATGAAAATAAGGTACCACCTTAAAGTGTGGGGAGGCTAAATTAACTGATCAAGGTGAAAGAAGAAAGCGCAAAAGCTGGGTTGCAGCTAAACATCAAAAACACCAAGATTATGGCAACAAGAATGATTGACAACTGGGAAATAGAGGGAGAAAATGTGGAGGCCGTGACAGACTTTGTATTTCTAGGTGCAAAGATTACTGCAGATGCAGACTGCAGCCAGGAAATCAGAAGACGCTTACTTCTTGGGAGGAGAGCAATGTCCAATCTCGATAAAATAGTAAAGAGCAGAGACATCACACTGGCAACAAAGATCCGCCTAGTCAAAGCCATGGTATTCAACATAGTAACCTACGGATGTGAGAGCTGGACCTTAGGGAAGGCTGAGCGAAGGAAGATCGATGCTTTTGAACTGTGGTGTTGGAGGAAAGTTCTGAGAGTGCCTTGGACTGCGAGAAGATCCAACCAGTCCATCCTCCAGGAAATAAAGCCCGGCTGCTCATTGGAGGGAAGGATACTAGAGACAAAGTTGAAGTATTTTGGCCACATCATGAGGAGACAGCAAAGCCTAGAGAAGACAATTATGCTGGGGAAAGTGGAAGGCAAAAGGAAGAGGGGCCGACCAAGGGCAAGATGGATGGATGGCATCCTTGAAGTGACTGGACTGACCTTGAAGGAGCTGGGGGTGGTGACGGACGACAGGGAGCTCTGGCGTGGGCTGGTCCATGAGGTCACGAAGAGTCGGAGATGACTGAACGAATGAACAACAACAACATCTATCTATCATTACCTGGAGAGATCAGGAAAGCCTCTACACTAGAAACGTTTAAAAAGAACCTTAAAACTTGGCTCTTCCGCTGTGCCTTTGGCAAGTAGGTGCACAACACTATTGCTCCCCTCAACACTTCTGTCACTGGAGTACACGCCCCCCAAATGGGAAGTTTAGTTTCACAACCCTGTGTTTTTATGAGCTCCCTGCAGCTAACTTGCTATTTTTATCTCATTCGAGTTTTTTAACATATTATCCTGTACATGTGGCCCGCCCACTGTTACCGCGATTGTGTTCAAAAGCATCTCTCTTCCTTCGCTCAGCCTTCCCTAAGGTCCAGCTCTCACAACCGTAGGTGACTACAGGGAATACCATGGCTATGACTAGGCGGATCTTCGTTGCCAGTGTGAAGTCTCTACTCTTTACTATTTTATCGAGATTGGACATTGCTCTCCTCCCAAGAAGTAAGCGTCTTCTGATTTTCTGGCCACAGTCTGCATCTGCAGTCATCTTTGCACCTAGAAATACAAAGTCTGTCACGGCCTCCACGTTTTCTCCCTCTATTTTCCAGTTGTCAATCATTCTTGTTGCCATAATCTTGGTTTTTTAGATAGATAGATAGATAGATAGATAGATAGATAGATAAGAGAAATGCAATGGTGGATGAATGGAGAGGTAGGCAGATGGATGGAGAAGAGAACTGTATTTGTGAATGGATGGAGAGAGAGAGAGAGGAGAAAAGTATTGGTAGAGAGAGAGATCCAGATGAATAGAGACAGAGAAGAGCAATGGATGACTGGATAGAGAAAGGTGAAGGGAGGGAGGGAGGGAGGGCGGGGCGCGTGGGGCACCTGTCCTTCCCTTGGCGGAGCTCGTTGAGGGCGCGGCGCAGCTGTCCGTCCTTCCGGATGAGGCTCTGGGCCTGTTCCCGCACGGTCTCCTCGGCCGCCGCCAGCCGCCGCTCCAGCTCCGCCACCCGCCCGTGCAGCGCCGCCAAGTGCGCGTTCGCCTCCCGGATCGCCGAGGACATGGCAGGCAGTAGCGACGGCGCAGACCGCGGCCTACTGCGCCACGCCCTTTCCGCCCACCCAATCCGCTGCCAGGGACGCGCCCAGGAGCGGGGCCTCCTGAGTCTGCCCAATGACAACACGCCCTAGCCGTGCCAGCATAGCCAATCGGAGTCGTAGCTTGCACAAGCCCTGCCTATAGCTTCCCTCTCCTCCAATGGGAAGGGCGGAGAGGAACACCAACTCATCAATGTTGCCATCCTAGCCGCGCCCCATCATCCACGATAGCATTCTAAGCCCCGCCTACGGGTTCCCCTCTTCCAATGAGAAGGGCGGAAAGTTGCCTCCATTCATCGAAGCCACCAATGGGAAACCGTCATAGCCACGCCCCGTCATCCAGGATAGCGTTTCGAGGAGACTGTCTAGCTTAAGCCTCGCCCACAGCTTCCCCTCCTCCAATGGGAAGGACGAAGAGTAGCCCCACTCATCGATGCCACCAATGGGAAGCCGTCATATCCACATCACCTTCCCTCCAATGGGAAGGGCGGAGAATAGTCGTCAGCATTCTGAGGAGAAGGTCTAGCCTAAGCCCCGCCTACAACTTTCCCTCCTCCAATGGGAAGGGCGGAGAATAGCCGTCAGCGTTCTGAGGAGAAGGTCTAGCCTAAGCCCCGCCTACAACTTTCCCTCCTCCAATGGGAAGGGCGGAGAATAGCCATCAGCGTTCTGAGGAGAATGTCCAGCCCAAGCCCCGCCTCAGCTTTCCCTCCTCCAATGGGAAGGGCGGAGAATAGCCGTCAGCGTTCTGAGAAGGTCCAGCCTAAGCCCGCCTACAGCTTTCCCTCCTCCAATGGGAAGGGCGGCGTTCTGAAGGGAAAGTCCAGCCTAAGTCCCGCCTACAGCTTTCCCTCCTCCAATGGGAAGGGCGGAGAATAGCCCCCCCCATCGAAGCCACCAATGGAAAGCCGTCATAGCCACGCCCCGTCATCCAGGATAGCCTTCTGAGCAGAATGCCCAGCCTAAGCCCCGCCTTCCTCCAATGGCTCACCGAAGACCCCGTAGCCACGCCCCGTCATCCAGGAACGTTTTCTGAGGAGAATGCCCAGCGCAAACCGACGCATCAAAGCCCCGCCCACGACTCGCCTTCCTCCAATGGGAAGGCCAGGGATTGACGCCGACCAATCGGCTCCGGCCACCAAACCGCGCCCCTTCGAGCATCCTCGAGCGGGGATTGATCCGTGCTATGTTCTCGTCTGGGCTCTCGCGAGAGTTGCCATTCTGAGGCGGTCTTCTGAGCGTGAAAGATGTCCGGCTACTGGGACATCCCGGAGGGCACGGAGTGTGCGAAGAAGACCTGGCTCACGGGCCGGCTCGGGGCCGCCGTGGGTGAGGAGGCCTTTCCTCTGTGGAATAGGGATAGATAGATAGATAGATAGATAGATAGATAGATAGATAGATAGATAGATAGATAGATAGATAGATAGATAGATAGATAGATAGATAGATAGATAGATAGATATCTCCTTGTTTGCCTTTAAGAGTATTGGGATGTCTTCAAGTGACGCATTTCTCTCGCTTTTCCTTCAGGCCTCGTGGGCTCCATTTACCACATCATCTTGTTTCCGTCGGAAACAGCGCTGCATGCCATCCAGAGGGCCACCAGCGCCACCGTCACCATGGGTGAGCCGAAGCAGTGTCAAACTGAGTTAACTCTATAGTGTAGACATATATATATGTGTGTGTGTGCACATCACAGTGCTCTCTGAATGTAGGTGAACTACAACTTCCGCAAATCAAGTGGAATTTCTCCCAAATACTTCCAGGATTTTTTTGCTGATCATGAGGGCTCTGTGTGCCAAGTTTGGTCCAATTCCATCTTTGGTGGTGTTCAGAGTGCTCTTTGATTGCTGGTGAACTATAAATCCCAGTGCTTACAACTCCAAAATGTCCAAGGTCAATTCCTCTCAAAACCCACCAGTATTCAAATTTGGGCATATTGGGTATGTATGTCGAGTTTGGCCCAGATCCATCATTTCTTGGGTTCACTGTGTGCTCTGGATGTAGGTGAACTACAACTCCTCTAAATCCCTCCAAAGAGCTCCAATATTTTTTGTTGATCATGGAGGTTAAATAAATTTAAAATAATGTTTTGAATACATACATATATATATATATATATATATATATATATATATAATTTATAATATATAAATATACAACTTTATTCATAATATGTCGGTATATATATAACATTTTTATAATATATCTTTATTATAAATAATGCTTTGAAAAGATATATAATTTATATGTGTGTATGTATCATTGTGGGAGTCCCCACAGTGGGTTAAAGCTGCTGAGCTTGTTGATCAAAAGGTCGCAGGTTCGATTCCAGGGAGCAGCATGAGCTTCCACTGTCAGCCCTAGCTTCTGCCAACCTAGCAGTTCGAAAACATGCAAATGTGAGTAGATCAATAGGTACCGCTCCGGTGGGAAGGTAACGGTGCTCCATGCAGTCATGCCGGCCACATGACCTTGGAGGTGTCTACGGACAACGCTGGCTCTTTGGCTTAGAAATGGAGATGAGCACCACACCCCAGAGTCAGACATGACTAGACTTAATGTCAGGGGACTACCTTTACCTTTACCTATGTATCATTATGTCATTGTACCCCTTGTATCATTGGAGCCCCCGGTGGCGCCCGGTGGCGCAGTGGGTTAAAGCACTGAGCTGCTGAGCTTGTTGATCGAAAGGTCGCAGGTTCAATTCCGGGGAGCAGCGTGAGCTTCCGCTGTCAGCCCTAGCTTCTGCCAACCTAGCAGTTCGAAAACATGCAAATGTGAGTAGATCAATAGGTACCGCTCCGGTGGGAAGGTAACGGTGCTCCATGCAGTCATGCCGGCCACATGACCTTGGAGGTGTCTACGGACAACGCTGGCTCTTCAGCTTAGAAATGGAGATGAGCACCACACCCCAGAGTCAGACATGACTGGACTTAATTTCAGGGGACTACCTACCTATGTATCATTATTATTTATTATTAATAATAAAAATATTGATAATCTGTCAGGGGTACTTTGATTGTGCTTTTCCTGTATGAAGGCAGAAGGGGGTGGACTAAATGACCCATGATGACCCATGTAGTCTCTTCTAACTCTTATTATTATTATTATGGCCATCTGTTGGGGGTGCTTTGATTGTGCTTTTCCTGCATGAAGGCCGAAGAGGATTGCAGTAGATGACCCATGCGGTCTCTTCCAACTCTGTGATTCTATGAAATGTGGGTATTGTTTCTGTGGTACTGTTGGGCTTTTGTTCCTCCTCCCGATTCAGCCCGCTCAGGATTTCTCTCCCCATGACTTCTTTTCTGTTGTTGCTGTCTCCTAGCTACCTTGGGGGCTGTTTTTGGGGTGACCACTTGCCTCAGCGCCGAGATCCGGGACGCCCCCGAAGACCCATGGAACTACTTCGCTGGGGGCTGCGCATCGGGTGCTCTCTTGGGAGCGAGAGGTTGGTAACCATTGATTGGATCCTCCTGCGTCAATATCATGGCTGCCTCTGTTTGTGTAACCGGGCTTCCTTTGTAAGACTCTGGAAGATCTTGGATTTGAAATCAAGCTCACAACAACAACATGCTGGAGACAAATGATTTATTTCCTTCTTTCCTCATTGCCTGAAAGACAGTTCTAAAGTTTCCCGCTGAAATACCCTGTAATATAACAGCCCAACTCCCATCTACCCCTAGTGGCCAAACATTGTGTCCACAATCTGTTAACTGGAATTTCCCTCACAAAGCAGATGTCTTATTTACACTACGTTCCCTGTACCCAGCCTCCCTTCGCCCTACCTCCCTTCTTTAAGGGAGAGAACCGAAGCAGCCAGTCCCATGATATGGTGATCCTGACATCCTTTCTCTCTGTTTCTCCTCCAGCTCGCAACTTTGGCGTTGGCACTGCCTCCTGCCTCGGCCTGGGCACGCTGGCAGCCTTTGTCAAAATTGGCAAGAAGGAAGGTTGGCGGCTGTTAGGACCCCCCATCAACTGAACCTCCTGTTTGATGTAAGAGACTCATTGAGGGTGAGAGGAGCAGGCCCACGACATGCATCTCTTACAAAGAATGAATGTGCACATAAATAAACTACTTTGTGGTCCTTCCCTCATGGTGGGTTGTTTTGGTATGAGTCCTCTTTCTCCCCAGAACTGGCCTCTGTCACACAATATACAAATAAGGGCAAGAACATGCAAACCAGTCGACTCTTCAGTTAACCTTTGGGGATGGCTGGGTGCCAGATGAAGGTACGAGGGATATCCGGAAAGTAAGGTTACAATATTTTTTTGAAATACAAAGAATGAATATATTTTAATGAAACTTCCATGGAGTGCAGCATGGGTATTACATTATTTTTCCACATAATCACAATTAAGGTTAATACATTTTGTCATCTGTGGGACGAATTTTTGAAGTTTCCCTCTGCCTTTTTCAGCCAGTTCGTCACTTTGATTTTCACCTCGTTGTCGTAGGCAAAGTGTTTCCCACCCAGGTGTTCCTTCAATTTAGTGAACATATGAGAGTCACTGAGTGCAAGAGGGATGGCTTAAAACATCCCAACCAAATGAAGTCAACCACTCTTGTGTTGCATGAATGGTGTTGTGCGAACACACATTGTCATGAAGAAGACAGACTCCCGCGGTCAGCATCCCATGATGTTTGTTTTGGATGGCTCTGTGAAGATTCTTCATGGTCTCACAATATATTCCGTACCCATTTTGTCATGTCCTCACCATAAACTGAAATGATTTCATGATAAATCGCAGCAGCGTTCATGCCCTTAGCATTTAGGTAGCGTATTGCAGCGCGAACTTCGCACTTGGAGGAAAAAAGAATGAGGACGCTCATGTCTAACCTTCACCACAACACCAGTTGATATGCTACTGATGAGTGGCACTGCTTGTTCGCTTCCGCTGACTTCCCACTACATGGCAGTGAGAACAAATCCCCCCTAGAAAATTCCCTGTGAGAGCTATGAGCCTTTTAACCTTACTTTCTGGATAACCCTCGTAGTTTCTGATTGCTTGAGAGTTAGTATGTACTAATGATTAAAAGATACATTAACAATAGTAATGAATATAGGCCTAGCTCGCTGTATACCCCATGCTATGTCATCAACTCTGTAATTGGTTAAATGGACAAATCCAGAGGGTGCTCATCAATGTTTCCTCTTCATCCTGGAAAGAAGTGACGAGCGGAGTGCCTCAGGGTTCCGTCCTGGGCCCGGTCCTGTTCAACAGCTTTATTAATGACTTAGATGAAGGGCTAGAAGGCATGATCATCAAGTTTGCAGACGACACCAAATTGGGAGGGATAGCCAATACTCCAGAGGACAGGAGCAGGATTCAAAACGATCTTGATAGATCAAAGAAATGGGCCAAAACTAACAAAATGAAGTTCAACAGTGACAAATGCAAGATACCCCACTTAGGCGGAAAAAACGGAATGCAAAGATACAGAATGGGGGACAATGCCTGGCTCGAGAGCAGTACATGTGAAAAAGATCTTGGAGTCCTCGTGGACAACAAGTTAAACATGAGCCAACAATGTGATGTGGCGGCAAAAAAGCCAATGGGATTTTGGCCTGCATCAAGAGGAGCATAGATCTAGGGAAGTAATGCTACCCCTCTATTCCGCTTTGGTTAGACCACACCTGGAATATTGTGTCCAATTCTGGGCACCACATTTCAAGAGAGATATTGACAAGATGTAATGTGTCCAGAGGAGGGTGACTAAAATGATCAAGGGTCTGGAGAACAAGCCCTATGAGAAGCGGCTTAAAGAGTTGGGCATGTTTAGCCTGAAGAAGAGAAGGCTGAGAGGAGACATGATAGCCATGTATAAATATGTGAGAGGAAGTCATAGGGAGGAGGGAGCAAGCTTGTTTTCTGCTTCCCTGAAGATCTAGGAGACGGAACAATGGCTTCAAACTACAAGAAAGGAGATTCCATCTGAACATGAGGAAGAACTTCCTGACTGTGAGAGCCATTCAGCAGTGGAACTCTCTGCCCGGAGTGTGGTGGAGGCTCCTCCTTTGGAAGCTTTTAAACAGAGGCTGGATGGCCATCTGTCAGGGGTGATTTGAATGCAATATTCCTGCTTCTTGGCAGGGGGTTGGACTGGATGGCCCATGAGGTCTCTTCCAACTGTTTGATTCTATGATCTATGAACTCTTTATTCATGTATAGTAGCACTAGATATAAATGTAGCTTTAACTCATAGTATACCCCATGCTTTACTATCTACTCTTTATTGATTTGATATTAATACTGAGATACAGGAATTAGAAGAAAAGACAAACATATAAAATATAAACAACTGAACAACAAAAAATATAAACAACTTGCACCAAATACAGATACAGAATTGACATATAGTAGCCATATAAGCCTGACTTGAAGTCAAGGGCTAGTCAGCACCACCCAGGCTAAGGATGCCTCCAAGGCAGTAAACCAGGGGTCCTCAAACTAAGGCCCAGGGGCCGGATACAGCCCTCCAAGGTTATCTACCCGGCCCTTGCGCAGGGTCAACTTAAGTCTGAAATGACTTGAAAGCACACAACAACAACAACAACCCTATCTCAGCAGCCAAAAGCAGGCCCACACTTCCCATTTAAATACTAATAAGTTTATATTTGTTAAAGTTGTTCTTCATTTTAATTATTGTATTGTTTTTTTTAATGTTTTTGCATTACAAATAAGATATGTGCAGTGTACATAGAAATTAATTCATGGGGTTTTTTTTTCAAATTATAATCCGGCCCTCCCAACAGTTTGAGGGACTGTGACCTGGCCCTCTGTTTAAAAAGTTTGAGGACGCCTGCAGTAAACAATGCAAAGGGAACAAAGGCCAGACTATTTCTATAACAATACTACTCCCAGTGGTGATGGGCACTAGGTGTAGTGCCTAAACACCTTGGCCTGCACTTAAAAACAATCGGCAGTGACAAAATTACCATCTGTCAGTTGCAAAAGGCCACTCTACTTGGATCTGCATACATTATTGGCAGATCCATCACACAGTCTTAAACACTTAGGATGTGTCCGATGTGTGGTCAAATACAAAATGTATTTATTTATTTATTTACGATATTTCTGCCCTGCCTTTCTCGAACCTGAAGGTGATTCAAGGCAACTTTTCAAGATAGGCAGCTATTCGATGCCATTAAAGTAAAAGCCAACAGAGTTGTCTTGTTTTCTGTGTACTAATCTTGTTGTGTCTCCAAGCAGCAAGCAATCAAGGGCTAGTGAATGCCACTCAGACAAAAAAATTATAGAAATACATTTAAATATGTGTATTTGCAGAATTTTTTTACAATGTTTATGTGTTTTAAATATGCTGTAACCCACCTCAAGCCATGAGGAAAGGCGGGTAAGAAATTAAATAATAATAACAATACTTTATTTGTATTTTGTCCTATCTCCCTGAGGGGACTCAGGGCGGATTTCAGCGTACACAAACACAAACATTCAATGCCTCAGCGTACACAAACACAAATATTCAGTTCACAGATAAACGTAAAAGCTTCCCTTTACCATAATAATAATTTATTTATTGTGTCAGGAGTGAACCAAAACAGTTGTATTGCATTAAAAACAAACAAGCAAACAACAAAACACAAAGTTTGCAGACTTGGTATTCTATTAAATGTCTTTTGACCAGTCGCTGGCCACTTGGAGTGCCTCTGGTGTTGCTGCAAGAAGGTCCTCCATTGTGCATGTGGCAGGGCTCAGGTTGCATTGCAATAGGTGGTTAGTGGTTTGCACTTCTCCACACTCGCATGGCGTGGATTCCACTTTGTAGCCCCTGGAGGGAAGCAAGAGTCATAACCATCTTGAAACCAGGCAAAGGCTGTAATTATCCAAAAAGCTATAGACCAATCTCCTTGTTGTGCCACCTTTACAAAGTTCCAGAGATACTTATTTTGCATAGAATTATGGAAAAAAATTGTCTGATTCTACAGCAAGCTGGCTTCAGGAAAGGCAAAAGCTACACATCGCAAGTGCTGAACCTGATTCAGCACATAGAAGATGGCTTTGAAAGGCAGCAGATCACAGGAGCTGTCTTCATAGACCTGTCAGCAGTGTATGATACTGTAAACCACTGCCTCCTACTGAGAAAAATGTATAATATCACAAAGGATTACCACCCGCCTCATAGGAAACCTGCTGCAAAACAGGAGCTTTTTTTGTTGAGTTCCAGGGCCAGAGAAGCAGATGGCGGAAACAGAAGAACGGCCTGCCTCAGGGGAGCGTGCTTGCTCCATCCATGTTCAACATCTACACAAATGACCAGCCACTGCCAGAAGGGACAGAGAGTTTCATCTATGCTGATGATCGTGCCATCACCGCTCAAGCAGGGAGCTTTGAGATGGTAGAACAGAAGCTCTCCGAAGCTCTAGGTATTCTAACTGCCTATTACAGGGAAAACCAGCTGATCCCTAATCCATCTAAAACACAGATATGTGCTTTTTATCTTAAGAACAGACAAGCATCCCGAGCTCTGAGGATCACCTGGGAAGGAATCCCACTGGAGCATTGCAGTGCACCCAAATACCTGGGAGTCACTCTGGACCGTTCTCTGACCTACAAGAAGCACTGCCTGAATATCAAACAAAAAGTGGGTGCTAGAAACAATATCATACAAAAGCTGACTGGCACAACCTGGGGATCACAACCAGATACAGTGAAGACATCTGCCCTTGCACTATGCTACTCTGCTGCCGAGTATGCATGCCCAGTGTGGAACGCATCTCACCACGCTAAAACAGTGGATGTGGCTCTTAATGAGACATGCCACGTTATCACGGGGTGTTTGCGCCCTACATCACTGGAGAAATTACACTGTTTAGCCGGTATTGCACCACCTGACATCCGCCGGGGAGTAGCAACCAATAGGGAAAGTACCAAGGGAATGACATTTCCGGCCCACCCCGTTTGGGTATCAGCCAGCACGCCAACGACTTAAATCAAGAAATAGTTTTCTAAGATCTACAGAAACACTTGCTGGAACACCTCAGCAAGCCAGAGTCCAAAAGTGGCAGGCTCAAACCCAGAACCTCAATGGATGGCTGACACCAAATGAGAGACTCCCTCCTGGGCACAAA